CATTTCTATCTTAAATGATTGTAGACTCGGTTAACCTCACCAGCCTTAAGGAATTTTTCTTTTTTTTTTGGTCTGCATTTTTTTCTTTTTTAATAATTTTTTTCCATCAGTTCCCTGTTGAGATGATGTATAGCCTTGTCCTATATTGGCACCTTGGTCTTGACAGGGTGGATTGATGTCCCTTAGCAGAGGCGCTGAAGCTGGTTCCTGCCGTGAAAATGATTCCGAAATTTCACATTAAACTTATAAGAACGGGCTGCTTGTCTGTCAAATATCCTACTTTAGGTGTGAAAAATGGGAACATCTTGGACTTCATATTTGAATATCTGTCTGGAAGGTAGCTTTGCTCAGCAGGCAGGACAGGATGAACTGTAAAAAGCTGAAGGGGGGAGTGGGGGCTTTGAGTGAGGGACTTTATGCAAACAGCAGACTCACTCTTATCGGGCAATGCCTCTCAGATTTCCACTCCAGTGCCAGCAACAACGCTCTTGTTCCTCTTAAATGGCATGTCCTGCTCTGTGGAGATAATGAGACTTAACATCGAGGGCTCTGAGATCCTTTCCTCCGCCGAACCCCGTCTCTTTCTCCCCGTGTGCCGGCTTTGGAAATGCGCACCTGCCTCAGCTCATTGTGCAGACCCTGTAGACCTTCGTCAGCAGTTCCCACACCAGGAATCTTTCTCCATTTGAAGGGATAAATATAGTTGGACTGATTTGTTGTTTTTTCCTTAGCTGTTCATGTTCGGGGTGGTGCGTTTGCATACTGTGTGCCCTTTGTCGCTGCAGGAAGTGGAGCAGCAGCCTCTGAGCATTCATCATTTACATGACGTGCCCTATATTCAGAGGACTGGCGGAGGCCGCCGGCATTAGCACTTCCACTCCACACGCTGCTTTTCCCAAATGTTACAGATGATATTAAAGTTGTAGATGAGAGGGTCATTTGCGATCAGATTAAAGAGCACAGCAGATGTTGACAGGTCCTCTAATCTTGACCTTTCAACATAGTTTTGTTTCTTTTGCGTAGAAGGTCTTCCTAATGGCAGTAATCGTCTGGAATAATCTTGTGTGTCTGAGGGCCACCTCAGATCAGCTCAAACATAAATAAACTTTCCGGTTGTATATATTCTTATATTCTATTGATCTTTACAAAGGAATGTGCTTTAAAATACTTTTATTTTATATATATATATTTTTTTTTAATGAAAATTTCATACCCTGAATTTTAAGGTGGTGATGGTCTCTTTTCAGTTGGGATTCTACAGGGTGCTGCTCTCCGTTCAACTCTAGTGACATCCAGCCCAGTGTTGGCATTTTCTCATCTTCCTTCTTTTAATTTGTTTTGGGTCTCTCGAGGCACAGCTCTCATTCAAACACCGTGAAAGAAGTCACCGATGTAAGCTGAAACTGTGGCCGTTGGGCTCATCCCTGCCCTCCGCTGCAGGGGCTGTCGGCACTCACACCGCTGCTAATGGGAAAAGCGTGAGCGGGTCCAAAACTCCAAGTGTTTTTGCACGGTTACTGACACGCCCACGTGTGGGGAATCGTTTTTGACCGGAGAGCAAATATCGCTCTAGATTCCAGCCCACCTCCACTCCCTGCACTTTGTTCCTGCTCTTGGGGCGGATTTCAAACTGAAATGGGAGGTGGGCGGCAGTGCCCGGGACAGATGCTTGAGCCCAGCATCGCGTCCCAGTCCTCCGGCCCCCTGAGCCCGGCTGGCCGGGGCAGCTCAGCTGGCCTCTGCCTTCTCGGCCAGCTGAGCTGGGGCTGCAGCGCACAGCGCCCGCCCCAGGAGCGACGGCGGCCTCTGCCCATGCTTCTGGAAGCAGAGCGCCACTTGAGCCCGGCCCCTACAAGCAAGGCGCAGATCGCAGCCGGGCGCCACGTTCTGGGCCGCCCTGGCTTTTGTTCCAAGAGCACAAAACCTCTCTCTAACTGTCTTCAAATCCTCCGGCTACCAGTTAGTCATCGCGCCCGCCCGCGCCCCGTTTGGTGTATTCCCGGGGGGGCGTCGGCCCGCTCCACCGGCAAGCTCTCGGTGCGTCAAAGCAAATTCTTAAAGCCCTGCGTCAGGACGGGGCTGCAGGGGCAGCCAGTGTTTCTGCTCTCCTGTCATGAGCGGCTGTTTCCTGGCGGCTGCTCCTGGACTGCAGCCCGGGTCGGCGTCTTCAGGCTCCCGTCAAAAGGTCCTTCAGCTGACAGGAGCACGCCTGAACAAGTCAGCCGTTGTTGTGTCATCCGCCGATAAGGCGATATACACTGACCGCCGTTTTCACTGGCCAATTAAGCCCCCCCCCATCTTTACCACATACACACAACTGCAACTTGTTGACAATGACGACACCCTTACTTCTCTGACTCTGTGCTGCCTCCGGACCCATTACTTCAAACAGGACTGCGTCACAGCAGGTCCGGGAAGCTTCTGGGCTGGCTGCGATAGCTGCAGCGCCGCTGCGTCCCGTCGACCCACCCGACCCCCCCCACCTGGCAGAAATACAACCCCCATCCCTGTGAAGGCTATGACAGACTGTAGCTGGAAGTCATTCACAGAATGCAGAGTTACTGTGACCTCTTGCTTTGGCTTGAACTCATTGCCAGATAATAAAGAGATGAAAACCCCCCCCACACGCCCCCCTGTAATTGGAAGCCTGCATAGATCCACATCTTCACCGGAATTGCACCATATTTTTCTCATGTCAGTACACTGGAATGAATAAATCTTTTGTGCGTGTGTTTGTGTGTGTGTGTGTGTGTGTGTGTGTGTGTGTGTGTGTGAGTGTGAGAGAGAGAGTGAGGATGTTGTGCATCCTGTGGGCTTTTATCATTCATGCAGAGACACTACATCCTATTTTATTTACCTCTTACATTCCGATCAAAGCCCTGAAGGAAATGAAGCTTCCAGCTGCAACAGTTTGAGGATTTCTAAGCCTACTCCAATTTATTAGGAAACGTGAATCTTATTGTTTATGGGTTTTTTTTCTTCCCGTTGCTTGTATATCTGAAGAGAGGCTGACATGGCGGGTAGAGTCAGAAGAGGAAAGAACTGACAGCAGGATGAAATGAGTTTTAGATTTATAATCCTTCAGCCGCGACCTCCATTTCCTGCATCTTGACGTCCTGGGGAAATGTCATGTCAGAGCCGCGTTGGTCAGATTGGAATGACAGGAGGGCGAGGCACCCACAAACGGCACGCAAACACCCGCACCACCACACACAGACCACGCCGTCGGGGGGGGGGGGGGGGATGGGGGGGGACTGCTCGGGCCCACTCACCTGTATTTTTCTTTATCTCTGCCGTTATGTGTCATGAGTTGTTTTTGTTTGTTGTTGGTGTTTGGATATAACCACCACGTACTCCCTCTCCGGTCCAGGTTGTCGTGTCGTAACGGACTCTAAATCTGCGGCTATCCACTACCCAGAAATCCTCCTCATCAAAAGCCCCCATGAGAAGGATGGCTCACGCTTCCAGGAAGACTTTAGAGGATTATACAATTACATGTTGGGGAGTTTTAGGACCGGGAATGACGAGGATTCCACCGGTGTTGGTTTTTAATTAGGAGGTCCGCTTACCTGCCTGTGTCCAGTTCAGGCTCTCATGCTGGATGCGTAAGCGCCTTCGCTGGCCCACCTGTTTAGTTAGTAATGCGGAGGAAACCCCAAACTGATAGGAATCTGTGGCTGGATTCAGTGGCAGAGTGATGCGGGGTCGGACCGAGGCGTGGAATGGCCCAGCGGCGGTTATCGCTGCCCTTCCCTGACCAGTCAGTCCGTCGGGGGAGCGCGTTTTTCCCTCTCAGCCTTGTTCCGTCTCATTGTGTGGGAGCGACCTTTGACATACTGCAGACGAATGCGATGAGGCACAGAGCCCGCCGCGCTTGCCGCACTCCTTTCATTAACATGGAGAGTCACGCTCCCCCTCTGCACCAACACTCGTTTTTTTTTCTTCTTTTTTTTTCTGTCCTTGAGAAGAACGATGCTTCATTTCCAAATCCCCTCATTTGCTCCACATTTTGCAGCTAATAATCAAGGACAGGCGTTTCCTCTGCAGTTCACCCGCTGTCACCTTAACCGTGCTTTCCTTGAAGATTAAACAGCTTATTTTCTTTTCTTTTTTTTAAGGCGACTACCTTTCAGGAAAGCTTGGCTGTTGATCATCTTTGGGTGGAGTGACAGACATTTGATTTGACACAAAGGCTTCCTTACAAAAAGCATCAGACAAGCTTAACAAGGAATTTAAATGAGATGTTGCTAATTAATACTTCACATAACCCTTCAAATAAGACCAAAGCATATCATTTTGGCAGGACATAAATTCAGATGGATCACTTATTGTTTTTTTTATATATTTTTTTTTATCACTTTAACTTTTTTAAACTTTTAATCGTCCTTTGAGATGCTTGACCTCAATCTTCTATTGATGATTCTTTTTCCTTTTTTCTTTTTTTTTTTGTGATGAATTGTTGGAATTCACACATCCTTGCATCCTTATCCTGAAAGCATACAAATAAAAAGCCCTGGTGTCGATCACACGCTGTAAACTCTGTGCCTTTACTGACAGCAGCCATCCCAGACATTGCATGTTCTGCCTCCCTGCTGCCTCGGGGAGACTCGGAGGGGGTGATCAGTGTTAGTCCGGCCAGCATGTCTCCGACTGGGGATGAGACCCAGTTTTTCTCTGACAGAGCCCCAAATCTTCAGAGATTTCCTTTTTCATCTCGTTGATTTGCCACTCTCTATGCAGCGTGTTTGTTTTGAAGGCCAGCCTTAAATCTTTGCAGCCTCAGACCCGATCAGACAGAGCCGCTCCGCACATAAAACAATTTCAGATGAACAAAGTAGGACTCTGGCTTTAAATGCCTTTCGGCTCACTATATTAGCGCCGTTTCATCTTTCAGAGATTACCGATAAAAAGCAAAAGCCGTTGGATTTTTCAAAAAAAGTTTTTTTTGTATGAATATAAAGACTTTCGGATCAATTTTGAAGCTGGACTTGGCTCTGCTGCAGCGTGGCATGCGGGTCCAATCACTAGTCATTGATGTGTGGCTTCTTGTTTGCGCTGCAGAGGGAGATGAAGGAGCAGCTGGTCACCCTGCAGGACAGCGAGAGGGGACACACCGAGGCACTGCAGCTCCTGCAGCGACAGCTGACTGAAACCAAGGTTTGTAACAGTTCTCGTTTTAAAATGTCACTTCTCACACGGCGCTGCGGCGGCAGCCATTTTCCCCGAGGCCGCAATCACCCAGCGCCGCCGCTATCCACGTAGTCTGTAGTCTGGCATCAGTCACAATGTATTTGGGCGCCGGCGATGCACCGCCAAGAGATAATTCATCCTCAGCTTAACAATCTGGTCTATAGCTGAAATGGGGAAGTGGCTTTTTTTTTTTATCCATCTGTTATTAGGAACATTTGTTTGGGCGGTAGGATTAGATCACAGGGGGAAGCGGACAGCAAAGGGCCAGCTGCACTGAGCTTCAGCCTCTGCATACGGGACACCGGCACAACCTGTTCATGTGGACAGCACTCCACACATTTTAAAGGACTTTCATCAGTCTGCAGAAACACCTGCTCTCAATCAAGTTTAAAAAAAATAAATTGATTTGAACTCAAATCCCTGTTCTGCTGTAGGTCTAAAAACACAAAAAGAGGTCAGCTACATATTTTCTCATGAATTTCACTGTTTTTTTGTGGGGTTTTTTGCATTTTCCTTGTCAAAAGATGCTGCCGTGATTGAAAGGCCACACCAACGGCAACAAATCACAAACTGAATGGACACAAAATGGAGCAGTTTCTTAACCCTACCCTCTGCTTTTTTCAGAAATAAGAGATTAGATTTCTGCATCTATTATAAATCAGGGTCGAGTACGTCTGAAGTGGATTGCTGTCCACTGGGAAGTAGTCCCTGAATCCAACTCCATTTCTGAGTCGATGTCCTTTGTGCTGCTGAGACCGGTGAGGTTGAACATGATAGTAAGGGAAATAAGAGGGAGTTTTTACCAGCTTTCTTCTTTCCTGTTGTTGAAACATGTAACTTTTGTCTGATTTTTTTTTTTTTTTTCCCCCCACCATCAAAGGTTTAGAAGTTAATCTTTAAGGTTGGACTGGATTGACTTAAAGCTCTAAATGCCAAAACAGCATGAAGAAATTACAACTTGAACAACTGACGAAGTAAAAAAAATATAACCTACCCGGATCGTTTGATGAGAATTCGGTTATTTACATTGAAGTTTTGAACATGTAAGCTCCAGGAGAGATTGTCTAGCATTATTATGTAATTCTTAGCATTTTGTAAATGGAAAAGTTAGATAGAAGGAAGACAAAAATCATTATAAGTTCCATTTTGCTTTAAATGATTAGTTTCAGACGGCAAATGCCAGCGCATGCAGCACTGACATTAATGGAGCCAGAAAATGCTCGCCTCGTGTCAGACATCCAAACGATGTCAGTGACAGCTCTTAACAAGCTTTAGATAAAGAAATTCCTCAATGAGCAGAGAGAAAGGACAAGTCTGTTTAGCGCTCTGATTTCCCATCATCCCCCCCCCCCCCCCCCAAACAGTTTTGCTTAGTCAGTTCAGCTCCAACACATAAATCGGTTTATTGAGCGGCTCTTTAATCTTGACGCCTTGTTTTAATCAGTGAGCCGTGAGCAGCTGCTCAATACGTCGGTCTATCAGCATCTCTGACTCGCACTCGTGCACACACGCAGACGCCGTGCACCAGGTGGGAGTGGCTGAAGGTTTACCTCTGCTCTCTGAAGATTTCTCTCTGGCGACCCGTGTGTTTCGGTTCTGTTGATGCTGCTGCATCGCTCACCTTCACGCTCGACCTCTGCTCTGGCAGGGGAGGCCAGGCCCGTCCATCTCATCGACTCGCTCAAACTGCCACATATACACGCCTCTCAGCTCATTTCCAACGAGCTGATCGCTAGTTTTCTATGCATTTGCGCAGAGGGCTTCCGGAAGAAGGCCACGGTGCGCTTGCCTTGATCTGCGATGCATTCAGGTGCCTGATAATGAAATGCCTGAGCTCGTTGCCTCTTTGCTGTTCAGGCTGTTTCTTCCTAAAATCTGTTAAGAAACTTTGGGGTGTAAAATCAGCAGAGTCCTTTGATGATGATCCCCGTATCGAGGTGGAGCTCGGTGCCCCGTGTTGAGTGAACGTGCGATCTCCAGTCTGAGTTATTGGCTCACGTGTCCTGAGGAGGGACTCCTGACTTCAAATGCCCGCCAGGAATTCGCTTGATAACGACAAGCTCCCACGAAAGGCGGCCAGGCCCGCCGTCTCCAAGGGCTGCGGGCTCCGGCTCAGCGCCATCACAGCCTGCTGGGCCAAAACGGCAAACATGTCAGTGTGAGTGATGGCCGGTCCGCTGCAGCCCTCCTCCTGCTCGTCCACACCGTCAGTCTGCAGCCCGTAACCAGGCGGGGGGGCAGGGTTGCAGCCCACCTCAGTGTCGGAGCGCTCATAACAGGTTCCCACAGGCAGACTGAGAGCACGCAGCACATAGCAGGAACAGGCCTGGTGGAATATTTAGGGGAGATGAAGGATAGCGAGGATCACGGTTCCTAAATTCGGCCCCCTTTTATTTGACTTTTTTGTTTAGTTTTTTCTTTTTTTTTCAGAACGTTGAGAGAAGAGTCTGAAATTCTCAAACCAGAAAATATTCACTCAACTTTCATAAAAGCAGTTTGATCCTCGCTTGCATCACCCAGACTGTCGTCATTAGAGTTGTCTCACTCTGCGCTGCCCTTTGATGGTGTTTAGATGTCTTTTCGATCTTTGAACAAGCGCCTATCTATTTCAGTCATTTGTTGTCTTTCATTGGATTTTTCTGCTTGAATTAAATATCCAGGTGACACTCGGAGACCTCCCACCGAACAGCTCCTGCTCCTCTGCAGCAACTTCACTCGTCTTTGTTCTGTCTCTCTCACACTCAGACAGCTAATGCTTAGATGATTCATTCTCTTTGATGCCCAACTGTTTTCCTCTTTAGCTACAGTTCATATCCTTTTGAACAGCTCTGTTCACTTTTCTTCAGTTTCAGCTCTTATGCTTATAACTGGCCCCCTTTTTTAATACTGGTTATTTTCTATTTGTGTTCATTTCTTGTTATAGTCTTCTATTTAGGTTTGTGTATTGTTTCATATCAACACATTGAGGCAACATATTCCTGTCTCTCTGTGGAGCCTCTACAGATCAATATATGTACACAATGAATCAATATGACTGTTGATGTAATTATACACAGTTTAGAGTACTTATTGGCCTTTGTCTAATTAGACTTAGATAAGCTAAGGTCACTGAAACACTCAACAACCCCAGTGAACTTCTGTCAATAATTCAGCATCCCACTTCTTGTAGCAGCGTTCACGACAACTCGTTTTTTTGCTAAATACACCGACTTTTGCTTCCCCCTTTCAGTCCTCGGCGAAGAGCCTGCGAGCGACCATCGGGGACGCGTTTGAGCGCCTGCACCGCTTCTTGCGGGAGCGCCAAAAGAGCATGCTGGAGGAGCTGGAGATGGACACGGCCCGCAAGCTGACCGACATCGAGCACAAGATCCAGCGCTACAGCCAGCAGCTGCGCGACGTGAAGGAGGGCATCCAGATCCTGCAGGAGCGCCTCAACGAGAGCGGACGCCACGACTTCCTGGAGGGGGTCGCCGTCACGTCGGAGAGGTGCGGCGCCCGAGCCCGGTTCAGCACGCGGCTGTGAACCAGAAGAAGGGCCACGTTGACCGACAATAAACGGCTCCAATCACTTTTAATTCCTTTTTCTAAAGGGCTTCTGGCATACGGGAGAAAGTGCAGATTTGAGCAACAGCATTGGCTAATCCCCGAACAGATGGAGCTATAGGCCAGAAATAAACCAGCTGTAATGTTTAAACAGGGAGGGGCCCCGAGGAAGATTTAATTGAACAGTTTAATATCTTGGAGCAGACTGATGAAGTTGAGTATTGGTATTGGGTAATTAGATTTGACTCTAAATTGTTTGCCCAAAACGATTTAATCAAAGTGAGGAGTGACCACCTTTACATGTTCGGACTGGAAAGGAGTTTTCCTTTTTTTTCTTTTTAAATTTGACTACACAGTATTTAATCTAAATGGGGCATTTATAGAACAAGTGACCAAATATGCTAAAATGCCTCTAAATGACATAATTTGTCATTATTTATTGATACTTTTGCTTTACTGCAACAGGAACATCTCTCTCATGTTGTTGTTGCTTTTAAAAGTAAAGGACGCAGTTAAAAACGCAGCTTTGATCAGTAATTAGATGAGAGCTGAAATAAAAGTACGAGAGCAACATATGAACTTCAATCTTTTTTTCTTTTTTTTCTTTTTTTTTCTTAATTCCAAAAAATTACTCTGGATTTCAGGAATGCTAAATGGGCCTTATGAATTAAGAGTTGCTTGGTGACGTCTTAAATGCAGATTGGGTTAACAAGTCTGAACAAGTCGCATCGTTATTCAGTTACAAGTTAACTCGGCGTGGGCTCTTACTGACCTGTTTTCCTTCACCCAGGATGAAAGGGAAGATACATGAAACCAATCTGACATATGAGGACTTCCCCACTTCCAAGTACATGGGCCCCTTACAGTACACGATATGGAAATCTCTCTTCCAGGATATCTCACCAGGTATGTGAGTACACGCGTGACATAACTGCAGCACTCAGATTCAAGTCCAATGAAAAAATGATGTATGTCTTTCCCAGAGAATCGGAACCAACAAGCCTGCAGCACTAACTTTCTTCAGTTAATCTTAAACTTGAACAACTTTAAGGAGGCTCTCTTGCAGATTTCGGGGGGAAAAATGGGAGAAGGAAAGAAAAGGACATGTTGTCTTATACTATTTCTATGCAGCTATCCATTTGGATCTCTTAGGTAGAGAACATTAAGGACAGTTAGCAAATGAAGGGAATGCGGACTTAAAGTTGTGCTGTGAATGCCAGGATGAGAAGAACTTCACCGAAATATGAGTGCAGCCTAGAATGACTTAGCCCGAGCCCAGAATCCAATTTAAAAGCTGCTGAGTTATCTGAGGAGAGATGCAGGAGAGACGTCCTTTCAGTGTGACTCGGTCAGAATCATTTCAGAGCTGAACGCTGGGATAAAACTGTAATGTCAGGATGTGCCAGCCTAATGAGTCCGTACCCTTTGAGACGCAGTTCTCAAATTAAAATGAAAAAGTGCTTCAACAGAGTAACTGTTTTGAGGTTTGCGTTGTTAATGTAACCATTTTTTTGTCATTATTTTTATACTTTTTTACCTTAAAAAGGGAAGGGAAAAAGGTTGGGTTAGACTTTTTCCCCACAGATGTTATAAAGGGGACGCTGGTGCTGGTCTATCGATAATGATTACAGACTGGGTTTAGTCCTCAGTGAAACTTTACTTGGAATGGTCATCACTCATTCAGTAGAGATCATTTAAAAAAACATGGTGAGGATTTTTTTTTTTGTTGTTAAATTCATCTATTCTTTTTTTACTTTTTTATTCCCCTTATCAATTTTCCCATTTTAGTCCTCTGATAGCCGAGGGGAGGGGGGAGCTGGCAGTTTCTTGGCTTCCTTTGACTGTCTGCCAAATGGAACAATTGGTTCCGATCCATCAGCAGCAGGTGCCAGAGACCCAAACAAAGACATTCCTCCCATCATCTCTAAACCCTCCCTGCCACCGATGGGTTAGCAGGAAATAACTACCAGGCGCCGTTTATTTATCATTTTCCCTCGATTTCTTGTGGAGCAAGTAAATTGCGATGCATGCTCTGAAGTGTGTGTCCCTGGATGTTTCTTTCTGACACGCATAGGCACTTAAGGTATGAAATTTTAATGACCCGATTGTAACAAACACTGGAGTCATTGACTGTCCTTTCCGATGGCAGACATCTCACCTCTATCTGTCCCAGCTGAAATGAACAGCGGTGCCACAGGAGGGTTTTCTGTCTTCGCTGAAGCGGCTCCATGTAAAGGCTGAAAGGGAACAAGCTCCTATTGTTCAGCTGATCTGCTTTCCCAAAACGCAGCGCTTGCAGCAGGCTTTGGCTTAAATCCTCCCAAAAACCCCATAAGTGCACGGGGACCTGGCTTCCTACAAACCTGGAACCTGGAACCTCCTCCCTTCTCTGTAATTACTGCTTCTCTAGGTTGTTTACCCCCCCCTGGCTGGGGCTAATATTGCCAAAACCGAGCACCCCCCCCCCCCCCCTCTCGTACCCCCCCGCCCCTGCCCGTGAAGCCTCTTATTTATGCATGAAGATGAAAACAGATTATGAAAAATACATGACACTGTATTCAGCCACATGCGACGCTCAGCCCTGCGCTTCATTTTTCATCGGAAAAGAGTGGCGCAGCAGTCGGCTGTGCCAAATCGGAGCAAGCCATCCGTCATTCCTCACCTCGGGGCATGGCTCTGATTGCCTCCCCCAACTCTGCAGGTGATGCTGTGGATATGCAGTTATGTCTTCATCCTAAATGACTGGTTCACTCAAAATATAAAGCAGTTATTTATTTATTTTTTTCCATTTACCCCCAGCCGTTACTGGGGAAATTGAGTCCTCTGCAGTGCACCTCCTGAGGCCCAAAACCACAGCTCAGAAAACTCCTGAACATGGTTTATTGATTCCTTGATGCACTCAGAGAAGAAATGTCAGTATTTATGAGTTTGGTCCATTTGATGTGTTGAGTTTTTGTGAATGAGTTCCAAAGCCTGCACGGCCCGTTGGACCGGAGCTGTTCCAGGACCGGCTCAGAGCCACAGCCCAGTGTGGAGCCATTCATGGAAAACCCTCTTGTGATTTCGAGCGAGCGCCCTGTTTTTTTGCTCGCTGCCTCAGCATAAAACTATTCACACAGCCGGAGCTTTAGGAAGAAGGATGAGGTGCTGGGTGACGGCGCTGCGCTTAGCTGACTCATGACATGTCGATGTTAGCCTTGTTTACATTTTTTATGTTCTACAGTATATTGTCTCCTTGGCAAGTGGTTGAAATATAAAGGAAATGTTTGCTTTCTGTGCTCAAACTGTCTCTTCCTTTGCCTCTTCCGTCTCATCTCCAGTGCCAGCGGCGTTGACCCTTGACCCCATCACAGCCCACCAAAGACTGATCCTCTCAGACGACTGCACCATCGTGGCCTACGGGAACCTGCACCCGCAGCCTCTGCAGGACTCCCCCCGGCGCTTCGACGTGGAGGTGTCCGTTCTGGGCGCCGAGGGCTTCACCACCGGCGTCCACTACTGGGAGGTCATGGTGTCGGAGAAGACGCAGTGGATGATCGGCGTCGCCAACGAGACAGTCAGTCGCAAGGGCAGCATCCAGATCCAGCCGAGCCGCGGCTTCTACTGCATCGTCATGCACGACGGCAACCAGTACAGCGCCTGCACCGAGCCCTGGACCCGCCTCAACGTCAAGAGCAAGCTGGAGAAGGTGGGGGTGTTCCTGGACTACCCTAAAGGCCTCCTGATCTTCTACAACGCGGACGACATGTCCTGGCTCTACACCTACCGAGAGAAATTCCCCGCCAAGCTCTTCCCCTACTTCAGTCCCGGCCAGAGTCACGCCAACGGCAAGAACGTGCAGCCTCTGCGCATCAACACGGTCCGTCTGTGAGGGCGGCGCCCCCCCCTGGTCACCCACGTCCGGACGGAGCCCATCCGGGGGTCTATCCCCAGGACGCGGGTTTAAAAAGAGTTAATAGGATGGTTGAAATTTCCTTACATTTGCTGTTAAGAATCGTGCTTGATGTTGCTCTCCAAATTAGTTTTTCTTTGAACAGTGGTCTGCTCTTGAGCCTCCCTCTTGCCTCGTTGACCCCAAACCCAGACGGACTCTGGGGCTCTCCCTGGGAGGCCGGTGGCCAAACGTGTGCACCCTCTCCTACTCCACAGGTTCCAGTGGTGGTTCAGTGCTGTTGCTACGGCTACTCGGAAGAACCAGCTGAGATCTGCTGGGGGTTCTCCACTTATTTGATCACTTTAAACATTTTCCTTTCTCTTGAGCAATGCAAGCGTACAGTTTATCTTATGTTTTACTAAAACATGATGTCCTAATGTCAGAAGTCTTGTTGGTTACTGGTTTTAAAGAAAAGCTGCTGTTTGTGAGCACTCTGCCACACTAACGGGCTCTGTATACAGGATTTAATTCAAACTATATTGAGCAGGATCTAAAAACACCAAGCTGCTTATACTAAAACTTTTAGAAATGAAGTTGCGAACCCCTTTTTTAAAAATTTCCCCGGATAATGGTGACTGGTGCATTGAGCAACATTCACAAAGTTCAGGGGCGTGAGGGGCGGCTTGTTGATCCTCAGGGTTTGTGCTTTCCCGAACTGAATTGATCTAACAAAATGCTACACACGGCTTTCACAACACAAAACCAGATAAAACCACTAGTTTTTCCGAGATGCATCCTGATCTTTGGCTGCCGGAACACACAGGACTTGGGTTTTTGGTCGAGCACTGGCTCTGAACCAATACTGGAACCAATTTAGGGGCCAAACACTAACGAGAAGGAGAGGAATTCTCCTTTCTCCAGTCTCACTTTGCATACCGTCTGTGGGCCTCACGTGAAGCTCTGGGCTCGTCTTACTGGACGCCCCGTCTCACTGTCCGCTCATGTAGACGGAGAAGAATGAATGGTCTTTGTTGTCTTCGCTGTACAGCTGGCTTAGTTTTCGTTGTGGAATCTGATCGATGGAACTCACTTTGGCTTTTGATGGGTCAGCACTCCAATAATGTCAGATTTGCTGGCTTTTTTGTTGTTTTGTTTTAGTTTTTTTTATTATTACTATCATTTTCTATTTAAAGTTTGCATCTTGGCTTTAATGTGGCCAGACTTTAGAAAAAAAAAAAGAAAAGAAGCATAAGAGTTTAATTGTTCCTGAGACAATGATCTTGAATACACGTTCAGGTGTTTGTGTGCAGTCTGTATCATAGTGAGGAAAGCTCGCATTGTTTTGGTGTCTGTGTACTGTGATACATTTCATCTGGAACTCGTAGTAGTGCATAAGGTATGCTGTCCATCGTCCCCACCCGGGGCTCAGCGCTCGGCCCGTTCGGAGGGGGACGTTGTGCAGAAACATGCTGCTATTGGTGGAGTAAGGGTTTCATGCTGGTTCATGTTTCATTTTCCGCTCTTCCCCAGAAACCCACAATTACGGGTAAGAGAAAAATGACTTACACTCCACATGTGTGTTTCATTCACTTTGATGTTGCAGTGAAGCATTTTTCAGCTTCCAGGCACGATTTTGTTTTCCTTTTCAATCTTTTTTAGCATATTATCAGATGAGCATTAAATCTTACTGCCCAAGAAGCGAAGAGATATTCTTCCTGATAAATGCAAACTTCCCTGATGTGGAATAGGTAAAGATTATCCTGCCAACCCCAAATGTTACTTTAGTCGCCCGCTTAAAAGAATGGCGCTGAATGTTTAGGGGAAAGCATGTAATCCGTTAAAACAGTGATGGATGGGCCAAGTGGAGCATTACGGCTCAGCAGCCTGCATCGCCAACTCTGCTGCTGTGATGCATAATGATAGAATTTCTGATAATTGCCGTGAGGCTCAGTCATGTTTCTTTCCCCACATGCCTCAAGTGCTCTTGTTTATCATCGGTCCCACACAAGTTCTGGAAAATCGGCTGTAAGAGCCTCTTGTCCCCCAGCCAGCTCCAACGTGTACTGACAGATGTAGGAGTGTGTGTGGATGTGTGTGTGTGTGTGTGTGTGTGCACGGGCGAGCTTGTGGCTGGGCAGCTCTGTCGGTGGGGGCTTGGCTCGGCTGAAATATTAATTCCAGCTTTGGCCGTGGCTGCCGAAGCCCATCTTGTCCCCTGAGTGGACCCATCCATTGGCCAAAAGTGTTAATTGCACAATCCTTTGAGATCAGGTAGAGCTCAACAGATTTATCCCCTTATCCCTCTCTGGGAAATCCACAAAATGAATAAACACATATAGGAACCCTTCTCTGCCACTGTACATCTTTGCATTTGTATTTGTGTTGTCTGTGTTGTCGGCTTATGAAAGAAGACCGGGGCAGGGCCCTCGCTTTCGCAGGAAGGGATTTTGGAATGTGCTGTAGGATGCAATCTAGAGTCAAATTTTGAGCACCTTGGGGTTGTTTTCGGTGTGTGTGTTTCAACTTGCACGGATCCGCAGGGAGCTGCGAGTTACTCAGAAGATATTTGAATAATGCAGCTGAGTAACACCTGGCTCAGCGTATGCGTTAAACAAATGCCCCCAGACGAGCCTGCCTCCAGGTTTGCTCAGAAAGCTGTTGGTTTCCTGAATGAATGTCAATGAGTTGGCAGTGACAGACACTGTAGGGTCGGGGGGGCATTTGGTAGTTCTCCGTCTGAAATGTCCTCTCAGAAGGAGTCGCTGTCAGCGTGAGCGTCACGCAAAATTTGACCCCAGTTTGCCGTGTGGCAGACCTCAGAGGGGTCTGTCCATGAAGACGGTGTGAATATTATCAGGAGGATTCATGTAAAGTAGTGCTGGGTGACGGTGGTTGTGGTAAAGCTAATGCTAAAATGGTTAGAATGATCAGAACTGACACTTTTAATGACTGTAAAGATGATTGTGTCTTGATGATGGCCATGTGCACCCATCATTGTGTGAACACTCTAGTGTACTTTTGCTGCTGGAGGTTTGTGAGAAATGTTTTAATGTACAATAAATGACTCCAACGGTCTGACAGTCTCCTTACTTTGTGATGTATTTGAAAAGGTGCTGTAGGCCTGCCGTTTCCAGTGGAGATGACAACAATTCCAATTACGCGCCTCAAGGTGGATATAATAAATCTATGTGTGTAAAGCTCTCTACCAGGCAATAACACTGCTGTCAAGTCTATCCAGAGCATATTAATAATCGTGGAAACGCTGGCTTTTATTATCCCGCTGATCAAACAAGTGTTAAGATCAGTGTTTGTTCGAAGACATGCCTCATTTTAGGTGGATGCCTCGTTTTCATTTAGATGAACAAATGCTTAAAATCACCCCTGTTGAATTTTAAAAAATAACATTATTTAGTTTTTTTTTGTCCTCAAATATTTTTTAATACATATTAGGTAATAAAATAATATTTTGCTTTGGTATTTGACATCAGGAGACCATTCAAACCCCTCATAATGTCCCCTGAATTATTTTAAACGCCTGTACCACTTATGAATGAAAACTGTTCCAAAAGGGACATATTTGTACTTCCAAATCAGTAAATGGACAAATTATAAGGATACAACATCAGCTTTCAGGGTACCACCCCCAGTGACAAGTCTTAGACCCCTGATAGTGAATAAGTCCCCCTTCTTTCTTTACTTTATTTTCCCTCCCCTCTGGGTTTAAGCAGCAAAATCATAGTTGGCAACTCTCTGACAAATAAGCATGTTGATTATGCAGAAACATGCAGTCCAACCCTGAAGGTGTCCACAAAGTTAACGCACAAGTCTGAATAGGGGAATTACAGCACACAAATACGTAGTGGATGAGCGGGGGTGCTGAGTTCATCTTTGGACGTCCCTCTCCAGCCCCAGCCTATAGCAGCATCACTCGGCACCAGGATTAACTATAAGATCTGTCAAATGGGGAAGTTTAGGAGTTGTAGAGAGAGTTGCAAGAGTTGCCCGCTCCCTGAACCCAAACTGGGAGCTGACTCCACAAGAGCCAGATTACCGAAGGCTCTGCTTTTAGAAACTTAATGAACCACAAATGCACTTGCCTCCTGAAAAGCGTGCAGCTCTGTACCAGATTATTATGACACAAAGATGCTTGACAATTGCGTTATGCATCAAAATGAATATTTCACTTTATTCTGGCCTTGACCTGTGATGAAAAGCTAAAACTGAATGAATCTGATAAACAACGCAAGTTCTTTCTCAGAAGGCTTTGCAACTTTTTGGACTAGCTCAAGGTTTTTCTGAGAAATCATCCTGATTACAAGGAATTTCAGTCATTCCAGGTTATGATAATCCTAAAAGCTCAAATGTGAGGCAACTGGACTTTTTTTTTTCTTTCTTTTTTTCCATTTCTTCTTTATTTGTAATGGTTCCCCTCTCATCTGCAAGGCTTCTTCAGCTTTAACTGGTGGGGAACTTGTTCAAGTCCAAAAGTTCAAGTTGGACTTGAACAGTTTCCACAGCAACATAAAAATGAAAATCACACCACAATGTTTTTCCTGCCTCATTCTGAGAAACACGGTTTCTAATTTCAACTATTTCATACATGTGAAAGGTGTGCTGCAAGGATCCTATTCATCAGTACTGGAGACCAAGCTTGTACTGTAATTACATTTTGTGTTTTTGTGAGGGGTTACAGGCTGAGTTTTAACAAAAGAATTGGACTTCCAACCAACAAAATCTTTTCAGAAATAAATACATAAACTCTCTATAATTCCGGGGTTTGAGCGTTTCAAGTCCAGCAGATCCTGAAAATGTTAGCTTTCTCATTGTGACCATTGAAAGGGGATTCATGCTCTGGACGCTTAAATATTTCAGTGCTGAACAACTAGTGGCTTTTCTGTCCGTGGTGTCCCTGAATGTGTCGCCAAGCCTTTGATAGGAGGTCACGTTCAAACTGTTGGATCTAAAAACAGTTTTTTGTAAATATTATAAGCTTTTTGGAACAGTCTTCAGTCGCAAAGTAAACCTAAATTCTCACATTTTTGCAAAAAAAAAAAAAAAGCTGAAGCCAAGACACTAGAATTAACATGGGACGCAGATGAGCCCTGTTTGAAATGTGTGAGGGCTTTGCCTCCGATTGTTAATTCCCATGCCATCTCGGTAAGCGTTTCATGCCATGTAATTTCATTGATATGTGCCAAACTCTCTGCTCTGCTGTGCTATCCAGCTGGGAGGAGGGAAGCTGTGCAACCATTTTCATTTCTCCTTCCTACTAAGGCTGAGGCTCAATGCAGATGAGTCACATCCTCCGACAGGTCCCGGCCATTTTATCATCGCAACATATCCGATAAGTATCCGATAAATACCTTGATAAAAAGTTAGACTTTTTTCGGTGTTTTTTTTTGTAACTGTGGCCTGTGGCTGTTTTTTAAATTCCTCACTCCAAAGCAAAAGAGTCTGGCACCATCATGATTACAGCTGTTCCTCTGCACAGTTTGAAGTGGACTGCCATTCATTCAAAGCACTCCCTTGTACCTCATGCTTGGAGTCTGAGTGTTTTTCTCAGCTCAAAATTTTATCCGAGGAGGTGCTGTCCATCCTTTAATAGACATTTTGTACCTGAGGGGAAAGTATCCATTAAAGAGTTACTGAGCGCTCCGCTGAGAGACCTGTATCTGATTCCTGTCTGCGGCGGCCCTCCTGAGGCCGGGTTGGGATGGTTCTAATCTTCCATTCTGATGAAAAAAGCCGAAATGAAGGCTTGCTTTTGTCCACACTCAAGAGAACAGGATCTTCAACTACAAAACACTGTTGGCAGGGAAAGATTAATCATCTCTATTACTGTATGTTCTTGGATTATGGATTGTTTGCGTTGGTTTTGTTTGGACTAGAGGCTTGTGTTTATACTGTGAAACTGAAAATAAGTGAAGTGTTTCATATCTTTTCAGGGATTAATCATTTTAGTAATGACAAACATCGCCTGGTTTCACTCGTAATTTGGAGAATTTCCTTTCTTTTATATTGATAATATCATGAATTAATCACTGATGATTGAGGACAAAGAGCTTTTTTAGAGAATGTATCATTGACACATGATGATAAATGATGTAGTCTGTCATTTGCAAGAAAAAAACAACTCCTTGACTTGAAGCTCACTCACTTCTTCTGGAAAAAAATCAAATATTTGCAAGAACATACAAATATCAAAAAGTACAATTCAAAAGTACAAAACAAAACCGGAAATGTCAAGCGTAGGAATAGATAAAAATAGAAAATAAATCAACACTTTTAACAATGATTGCTCAACTATTCCTCTTGATATCATGGGCCCCTCATTTTAAATGAAAATCTCTACCTGACATCTCATTAATCTTGTCTCTCTGCTATAAGAGTTGGACAGACCTGGCCTTCCTGAGAAAGAGTTTGTTAAAGTCAGTGCGTGGTGGAGTTTTCAGCATTTGCCTGCACACGTCTCTGCATTTTGAATTACGTTTTGTGTCTGGATCGCAAGTGACTCAGCCTCCAAGCACCATCTATCTTTCCAGTTCCCCGCTGGAGGCTTCCAACCTCGGGTCCTTTTTGGGTAACAGAGTGCCCCCTGGTGTTACGTTGTATCTCAGTTGACTGGGCCAAACCTGCCAGCTCTGCTACATTCTTTCTTCTCTCCACTTACAACTCCAACTCATTTCTTAGTACTTATCATCCTACAGAGGCAGTTCAGCCTGTTTCTTTGAAGAATGTTAAGAGTTAGAAGAATCTATGCGATATTAGATTAAGTCAGGGCATGTTTAACAGTGTTGCAAAACCCAAGTCTCGCTCTGGCATCTAAACTTTTTGTTAACTCTGCACAACCACTTGAATGCACAAGTATTATTCACCATCGAAAGGGTTCCTAGTTCTGTTAAATTTTTTTCCACCATGTAAAATATTTAAAAACAGTAACCCAGGAGGCAGATGTGAATATTGTCAGACTCAAAGGAATCAACGATATTCAGAAGTGTAAAGGCGTTTATACATATCAGTCAGGCTTCTCTGGAATATAGTGCGTGCGTAACACACTGAGTCAGGATTTCTTGTGAAAATACCACACCAGGTCCTTGTGCACAAGAGCATACAAGCTTGTAAGCACAATGCTAAACGAAGGCAAATGGGAGCATCAATACGCCCTGTTTTAGAGCAACAAAACCTGTGGGCCGGTGTATCCAGACCCACAAACACTGTCTATCTCGTTTAGTTTTTTTTGCCCTTCTGTAAAAACACTGTCACAGTTTCATGGGATTACTGACTTTGACACCCAAGACAATGAACACAATTAATTGTACAAACACCCAAAAATGTCAATATACAGGTATGGAAACAGGAACCAAAGAGACTGATGAGTCAGAGAAGGTGCTCATTTCAGAGGAGACATTTCTGACAGCACATTTCAGAGCTGAGTGACGGCTGCCCAGTAAACATCCCCCTGTAATTATTAGCAGGTACACAAACCTACACATTCCTCCTGCTAGGTTTAGATACTTTTTATATGCATGTTTGTGCCCAAAATTACCTAATTTTTCATTTTCTTTTCATTATATTTGCTTTTTCTTGGTGTTGTCTGATAGGTCCTAGAGTTTACGGTCAAATTTAAGTTTAAGAGAGAAAAAACTAAAGCAGTCACGTTTAACGAAGTCACTTCGTGTTTGTCATGCAAAACTTTATTCAAGTTCTGTGTAATGCAAATTTCATACTGCGACTTTCAAAATATTGTTTGTCTGAGGATTAGCCGTCCACAAGCCGGAGAGTTTTGTAACCCATTGTGCAAAGGCAAACGGATGAAGAAACCAAAGCTCTCAACTGTTTAAGAAGGCCTTCCAGCCATCTGTTCCACTCAGGTTTAGTGTCTCGAGCACGCCTCGACCTGCCTCCTCAGCACCTTTCAGCAGGTTTCAGATGTTATTCCATACACGTGAATAGCTGCCTAGCACCCTGTGTTTGCTCTCTATTCACTGTTTTTTTTAACGGGCGGACCTGCTGTCTGCACCTTTGTAATATTAATGATGATTCTGATGAAAACCGACACCAGTCAGTGTCCACCTTTTCCTCACACGAGTCTATTTAAAAAAAAAAAGTTTTAAACCTGTGTTACATTTAGAGAGGTAGACTCGTCTCTGGTCTTTGCAGCGGATGATTTTAGAGATTGGATGCAACTCTCCAGTAGAATGTCTATAGTCCTGATCAGAAGAATATTCACGCTCAGGATGAAAGGCAGTATGAAAATGGGGAGAAAGCCCAATAGCCCTATCATTACGTTCCCCTCTAGGCTTGGAAAACCCCACCGTTGCCATCCACACCAACGGCTACGTTGTGAGTCCATGTGTTCCTCCGTGACAAATGCCAGCGGTACACCTGTCTTTGTCCTCTCGCGCTCCTGTCTTCCCCTCTTTTCAGGAAAACTATCCTGGGAGGAGAGGTCGACGTCTCCATAGGGATTGGCCGACATCTGCAAGCTGTTCCAGGCCCGGTCTGTTTTCTCTGGGTCAGTGACCGGCGTCCCGAGAGGCACGTGGCCGGAGGGTGCAGGCGTCATGGTAACGCAGTCTCTCCTCCCAGTGCTGGCGTGTTTCCCTCCACGCCGGACCCCCCGCAGGCCGGCGCCGGTGGTCAGCAGGAGCAGAAGAAAGAGGAGGAAGGCCATGCTCCACCAAGGGTTCACGGCGCTCGGCGTCGGCGTGTAGAGGTTGGGCAGACACCCGATGAGGGAGTTTGTCGTGTGCAAACAAACAGCCGCCCACACCTCCTCCATCTTCAAATGCCACCTGACGACCAGGGCGACGCTGACCCACGCCGACAGGCAGCAGAGGAAGCCGACCACTTGAGGCCAGCTCCCGCCGTCCTCCGGGCAGCAGATGCCCTCTTCCTCCTCCATGTTTCCCCCCGCGGGGCAGCGAGGCCGTCCGTCAGAGCCCGCCGTTTGCCTCGCCGTCCCGTGGTCGACGGCGACGTGAGGCCAGAGCAGTTTGATCAAGGCCTCGACACAGACCAGAAACGTGGTCAAGTGCAGCACGGCCCCGTACGTGTGGCTGAGAAAGAGCAGGAAGCGCAGAGCGACGACGTCACCCGGTGGGTCCAGTTCTGTCAGCCAGGATTCAGCCACGCACAGCAAACTCAGAAAAACTGGAAGGACAAGAAAGAGCGAGCTGGTTAGAGCACTCTGGCTGAAGGAGAAAAAGGGCACTCTGCTCTCCAGAAGAATTGAGACAAATTAAAGGGTCACCGCAGAAAAGTCACTCCTTCTATCAGGGAGTGCAAATAAAAAAAAAATGTCATTATGACTGTGGCCATGCCCCGGCAGCTCTGGCCCTGAGCGGCGAGGGACGTCAAAATGAGATAGGCCCGACTCTTTTTTATCAAAAGCTAATGGGAGGAAGTGATACAGACAAAGGGAGAACAATCATGACACATTCATGCCGTTTGTTTCTATTCTAAGATCAAAGTAACCTCGTTATTGTAAGGTCAGAAGATGGCAATCGTAATTAAAAAGTCAGAGAGCTTAATGCGGCATCTCTAAACTGCTGTCTTTTAGAAGTTTAATTAGTCTATCAGTAAACTACCAGGGCATCAACCTACAGAGAAGCGAAGATAATACATGTTGTTGTTGTGGTCTTTTTGTCGCACTCGAGATCTGATCATTTATTTTTTTGCTTCTGTTTTCACACTGATGTCGTACAAAGAAAAATGTTACTAAAGACTTGAGATCCAACTAAAAGGCTTTTCAGATGCAGCTATTTAGAACATTTACACAAGTAAGCTCCTCTTAATATCTGGTTTCACGTCAAATAATTATCTCTTGCTACATTATTTTGAAAAGGTAATTATAAGTTAAAGGCCCTCAAACATAAAATCTATTTCTCCAGCTGAATCTACCCGTCCGCGATCGGGTTAGACTTAATTTCACACGATAGTTGAATCCTGTAAGTGTGACAACATCCCTGATGTCACAGCAGCCCTTAATGGGGTCTTGCGTAAAACTAGTTTATCGTGGCTGTTTGCTGCTGCGTGAAATCTTTCTCAAAAACAGCCCGATTCATCACTAACTGCCAGAGCTGGGTGTGGTCAGAAGTGCCTGCACCTGTAACCGCTCCTAACATGGTGCTGCAGCACACCTTCACATCACTTTAGCAGAGAAAGAGACCCAGAAATATCAGGGGAACTAATCAGCTCTTCAACAGTCTGAATCAAGGGTCGATTTTTTATAGGACTAATTAGGAAACCATACATATTTAAATCTTAGCGTGTCTGAAGCAAAGAGGAAGGAACTGCGGCGCCTGCGCTGAGCAGGACACCTGACCGTGTCCTCACCTGCGACCAGGAAGTCGGTGAAGATCAGCAGGCAGCAGCAGCAGAAGCTGACGGGACTGTATGACGCAGCCAATGAGGGCAGGAACAGCAGGCTGCAGGCCAGTTTACCCACACACAACACCACCGCTCCTTCCAATATCCCATCCATAGCTGCAACACAACAACAAGCATGGGCCGACACGTTTTTAGGGTTTGTTTTTTTTTGTTGCTTTTTAAAAATCCTGGATTTTAGGAATGTGATTTCAATGTTTGTCATTGAAAACCTCAATTCTGGAATAGAGAATCTATTTCTGCGTCACAGTCCTGGATCAATATTCCTCTGTGTACACTGGCAATGAACCTTGAACCAGCATAATTGTTCACAAACCTTTCCATGTGAAGAGGCTAGGAAGCAACCTCAACCGCCTGCTTGTGTGGACATGCATGACATGTTCATGCAAATAACGCTAGCAGGGACTCTGAGGCTTTCAGTGTGCGCAGGGGAACATCTGAGGACTATGCAGGCACCTGAACACAGTCAAATCCACCTGACACCCTACAATCAGCGAGGAACATGCCCAATTCATCCTCACTGATCGTTCAAACGTCGCTTTACAGAAAAAAAAATAACAGTGTACATTTTCTAAAGACTACCATGAAGTCCCCCGGCTCTTACCTGTGCACATATGAGCCTGCAGAGGAGCATGTCAGTATGAGAGACAAATGCCTCATCAGCCGTCTTTACCTCCCCCTTTGCTCCTCCCTCACAGGGATAATGGCCCTCCCTCCTGCTCCTCAACTCCCTCTCCAACACACACACACACACACACACACACACCCACGTGCTGCCTGCACCTGGCCTGTGGAGGTGAGAGAATGAGCGGAGGGTGTGGCATTGTTTGTGCAGGCAGGAAAACCAGTCCAACAGCTTGCTAACACAAGAGTGTGTCTGTATTTTTGTCCAGTGAACAAACAGCTGATGAAGGGTACACAACTCAGAAATGATCATGTAAAAAAAACAGTCATCCTTTTACATGCGTTAACAGTTTTCAGACCTACTTGGCGTCATATGAATCAAGAAAATCCTAATTTGTTTTCAGAAAAGAGCAGTTCATGATCTTCACAGAACATTATTTATTCATAAGTTCATCCTTATGAATATGTGGTCTGTGGTCAAGCCTCCAGTTTAGACCTTTGAAAACACTTAGAAGACTGAAAGAAGCCCATCTCCAACTCCAACCTATAATTTGATCAGTTTTCACAACAAAGTTAGTTTGATAGCTGTGATGGAAACGCCAAGAGTATAATAGCAACGTGCCATTAACGCGAAAGGCAGATGAAAATTATTGGAGAGATGTTTACATAAGTGTGGATTAATCGTATTATAGAATCAAATTAAATCATGCAACACATTGCATCTAGAATATATTATCGTTTTTGGAGTTGCAATCAACCTTTTCATAATGACTTCCTCACCATATATTTAACTCTCCAACCTTCTTTTCAGATGACTAACACCCAACATACCTGCTTCAGTCACTTTTTTCAGAGGAATTTTAGTATCCTGAATACCTCCCACGCACCTGGCTGAATTTGCATTGACCTGGAATTGTAAATATAAACACAAGTTGGAATTTTGCCTCACTGACCCACCATCTATCCCCACTGTCATTGGCTGAGAGGTGGGCTACACCTGGACAGGCACCAACCAACCACAACAGTAAACAACAACAACAACGGCAAAACGGACTACAGAACAAGTCGGACTGTTCATGTCGTTGGAATGTGATGTTCTGTATGTGAGCATTCAGGTTCATGTTACTATTCCAGATGCCATCCGTACGGAAACAGCACCTCACCCATCAGGCCAACAGTTAGTCCTCATAACAGCTCAGGAAGGCTAACAGAAGGTGGTCACCCTGCCTCCCTGAGACCCCCCCCCACCCACACACACACACACACACTAAAGGCTCTCCAGTGTGAGGTAGAGCAGCTTGTTTCCAGGTGAGGGGGTGTGATGTGATGGCTGAAGACTGAACTGCCACTGTACCGGTGTGGATCCCAGTTATAGGTAAGGTGACACCAATTCAAATCAATTCAAATTCACTAGATACAAAATAATGGCAAATTGACTTCACGGACACAATGATCTTTGTGACAAGGTAGCCTTCAAAACACTGTCAATGACAACCAAGACTCTTTTAGTCTTCTCATCACAGCTGAGACTCAGTTACTGACTAATCTGATTTGATATCTGATCAAATATATGAAGTGATGTTGAGTGTGTCTTAATCAAGTCATTCCCAACTTGAATCAATAAAAAGATCCCGTGTGGATTCTTGATATCTCAGTTTTTCCTGTGAAGCTGGTCTTTTCCCCCCCCCCTGTAACGTCTCCTCATGGTTTCAGCCTGTGGAGGCTCTGTGGCTCTCCCTCCTCTGTGGCAGCAGTGCCATCTCCTGCTGAGCTCAGCACAGAGCATATTAGCCGCCTGTCACAATGCTCCAGCTGAGAGGATTACACTTCATATTTACTGCACATGCCGGACATCATCCCGGTCAGACAGGCGGCTTTTGTGCAGACCGTGGAAAAAAAAAAGATTGACCCCCACATGCCCAAACCCCGGCCGATGAACGTAAAACTGCATCATTTCTCATATTCCTTTCTTTTTTTTCTTCTCCCCCCCTCACCGAGCCTCACGCAGCCAATAATAGGCCGTGCGTCGTTGTTACCACAACAGGCACCTACAGGAAACCCCTGTTAGAAATAAAACTTCCCATCCATGCGCACAGCTCTGAACGGTAAATCAGCACATCAGGGGAAACGGCCAGCCTTCAGATCCCAGGGCAGAACATCGGCTCACATCATCTGGAGTAAAATCATATTTTTCCCCGTTTTTCCCCCCCTTTTTTCTTTCTTTTTTCTCCATTTTTTTTTCTTTTTTTTTTTTTACCGCCCTGAACAATTCCTCGCCTGCAGCACCCAGAAGTGAACAGCAGGCGACCCGGAAGGTTTGAAGTCCGACTGGGAACGAGCAGAAAGAGGAGTCGGATCCTTTATTAAACATTTCTTCCCCTCTCGCTGGCGCAGGTAACGTTGACCTCTCCGTGCGAATGATCTGCCTCTCTGGGTTTCCCCCCCCCCCCCCCCTCTTTTTGTTGTTGTTGTTGTTTGGTTTGTTTTTCTCCCAGCTCACAAAGCCGCTTTTGCTTTGTTTCGTCTCTCTTTCTGCGCGAGTCGTGCAAAAGTTGCCTTTTGTGAGGGGGAGGCTTTGGGTTTGAGGGGAATGCTGCAGAATGGAAGCCTTCGTTACGCGTCGGGATCCTCTCCTCCAGCAGGATCTCAGCAGCCCCCCTGCAAATGCACGCTGATTGTTGTAGGAAGTGTCAGGGTTTTTTTTCTTTTTTTTTTTTTCTTCCCCCTTCCCTCCCCGAGCCGGGCTATTCAAACCTGCAAATCAAAGCGTAAACAATGATTCGGACGCTTAATGCAAATCTCCCGCATGCGGGCGTGCCGAGAGAGTAGTCTGCTCAGAATATTCCGATCTGCAGAATATGGCGTCCGTTGCTTATAAAAATAAGACAGGGGCTGCCATTTTTGTTTTCCTTTTGTCTGAATTTTTTAATAAACTGTCTGAGAATGTGGGAGAGGCCGCTCCTCCGGGGGGCTGAACGCTCTGCTCCACGGCCGCTTTACCGCGGCCAAAACGCAGATTACAGCCCCAGCTTCTGTTTCTGAACCCTTTTAAAGGGTGGAATGGGGATGTCGGCGGATACAGAAACGTCAAAGTTGCCTCAAACTTTTCCTAAGACTCGTTCCTTTTTCCTTTTAAGCGGACCACACGATACTGGTGCTATTTGAAGATGAAATGGAGGTTTTTAGATAGTTTTATTCTCCACAAGGGACGTGACATTTCTACAATTGTATGTTATAAGAGATACTGCAGAGATCTTCAAAGAAAATGGTAGGCCATGTAGGCGCTTATTTTCTGTTTATTTATGTCCCCTCAGCTTTTGTGGTATTCAGTCAGTTTTCACGTTTTGTGATGAAAGATTCTCTTCCATAACACAGACAACCCTCAACAGGGGAGGGGGGGGGGGGGTCCTTAAGTCTACAAGTTGGAGTTTGATCCAACTATCTTCCTCACAGCCCAAAAGTAATAGTCATATGTCCAACAAAGGATGATTATCCCAAATATAACTATCTGTGTCATTCATAATATACCATAAAACAATGATCATAAGATGGAGCCGCTTAGATTATGCTGGAAATGATGGAACAGCCACAGTCTTTTAAATCCATCCATCCAGAAATAATTAGTTTTTTTTGTAATATCCATGAATTTCTAAAAGGTCACATGTTACACTGAAAGGCCGTCGACAAGGGGCTTTTTATTTTAAGACTCAGTTTTTTGTCAGATTACTTTGTAATGTTGATTACTTTTTCTGGGTATTTTTTTAAGTGTTGCATGCAGTAAGATCCTAAATGGTCAGACAATTGATCTGCTGGATAGGGCTGACTACGCTTTAAGCGTCTTGAGATTACATTTGTTGCACTAAAACTTAAATGAAACCATTACTGAAATCAGTATCATAACTTATTTCTGTCGTTTTCAAACTAGAGCAAAAATCATCCTATTAAATTTGTGTTTAACTGTTCATTTGTGGAAACTGTCTGCAGATGAACTGATACTAAAAATCATGGCAGCTTTAGGAGGAGAGTAGTGATAGAAAACAGACACAAACTCTGTGAGCTTACAATGAACCTCGCTGGGATTAGATGCTGGTTCACAAAGTGGCACAGAGATGCACAACAACAGCTCAACTCCCCTGTGATTGGAAGTCTCAGGGAAGCAAAACTGATCCTCTCTGGCATCATTACAGAAATATTTTGAGAGGTACATTGTACACTCGTACCTCCAGACGTATTGGTTTTGTTTCTCTTGGCTCACATGTGTGGACTGTGTTATGCCTCGGCTAAGCCAAACAGACTTAGGAATGGTGCAGTGTGCCAAAGCATGCAAGGCAAAATGTTTTAAAAAGAACTTCCTGCAGGGTTGAAAAGAGAAGTTATGGAAAGAAAGGCTTTTCGGATCCCTACTTGAGCGCTTTGTGTCTCGCTCTGCTTTCAAATGTGAAACCTTTTCCCCCCCTAACCGCTGCCTCAAACACACTTTTGTGAAAAGCAGCTTGATGAAGAATTGCATTTGTTTTTCCAGAGTTCAGAAATGAAAGACAGGCACGTTACCTGCTGTTTTGACTCGAAAGGAGGGAAAGACGGTGTTTCTGTGCCGTCTCTGTGAAGTTGTCTTGTGTTTATGATTTATTCCAGCTCCGAGCACCTCCCTTCGCGTTTCGGTTTTGTTGCCGTCGGAGGTGCAGCATCTGCCCCAGTTTGAGACCGGGCCGTTTATCAGTTGGAGCGCCATGTGTGAAGGAGGAGACGGCACAAGGCGCCCTCTGATCTGAGCCGTGTCACTCTGTTTTCCCTGATAACTCGCTGGGCCTATCTGCCCGGCGGCGTGCCCATCGTGCATACGTGTGATTGGGAATCAGAGGAAAAAGCCGGCCGGCTTAAAACTGTACAAAAACGCACTCCTTCAGAAAACTGCTGTCTTTACTCACCATTGCGGCTCTTTGATCAGTGGTGGAGCTTGTGGCTTTGAGAAAGAGTGAAGAAGTAAGGTTAATCTCAACTGGGGATCCAGTGCTGAATGACTTTGAAGAGGCTCTATCACAAGACCCATCAAACAGTCAGCTGCTGACTGGGTGGAGAGCCTCCGACATGGTTTTTAACTGCCATGGTCCACATCAACAACAGATCCTCTCATAAATACTCCAAAACATGGCGTACTATGGAGGCAACACACACCAATCATATTCATATTAGAAAATAAATGCTCACCCACACAACCAGTGAGTTTGTTTTGTGGGGGAAAGATTGCTTCATCTAATAGGTCTGACACGCTGGAAACTGCTGTCATAAAGTTTTTCAGTGAAAATATCCTGATAAACATTTAAGCACAAAGAAGCTGTTGTCATTATGTGTTTTTTTTCCTTTTAGGATGGCTGAATCCCGCTTTAACAATCCCTACTTTTGGCCCCCCCCCCCTGCCATGCCTGGCCAGGTGAGTGAATCCGGTGTCCACACTTGTATCGGAATGAATCATCTTAAAACCTCACTCATTTTCACTGAAGGGTTTTTTTCTAAAAGCATTTGCTGAAAGCATTTGTCAGCCTTTTAGATTATTTACAGACCAGAGGAGAAAACTGGCGTGCGCTTTTCTTTACTTTAATGAATAAAGATCTGCTTCAATCTGACGGTTGAATTAATATAACATGGTGTATTATTGGTATATTGCAAACTCTGCTCTCTATTTGATTGTATATTTCAGGCTAGGTTTGATTTGCTCAATTTGCTCTCTTTCTTGACAAAATACACTTTGACTTGTGAATTGAGTTGACTTGTGTTGTGAATCTTTCCTTTACGAATAAAACAGAATTAAGATTTTTCCCCAAACTGGATAGGACATTTAATTTGCATTAACAGAATGTTAAACTTGGGAACGTAGATGTTCCCGTGAGCTCAGACCAGCGAGTGACCGAGCTTGTCTTAGCATAGAGTCTGGAAACGGGTAGAAACGAGCCTGTGTACGTCTGGAAAAAAAAAAAACATAATAGAAAAGATTTAACACATTAAACCTGTTTATTCATTTCCGTAATACAGTATTTATAGAGACAATGACAAATGACAAGTTATGGCTTATTACAATTGAAAACATTCCTTTTAATGGTAGTACATGCTGCTTTGAAATAAGTTTGTCTCCTAAAAGTTGGAACAGGGGTTCATTTAACAGTAAATGGTAAATGAACAATGGTAAATGAGTAAATGGACAAAATCAGACCAACATGAATGGCAAACAGTTCAGCTTTTGACAAAAGGATGAAGCTAAGAGCACTGTCGATTTAGCTGAACGCTTTTGTGCAGGGGCATGTGTTATTTAACCATATTGGCTTGATTCAAACGAACATTTAACTTTTAAAAGTTCAGTTTAGACAAAGATTATAAATAATTTCTCAACGTACAGAAAATGAGCTGATTTGAGTTCATTTGCCTTTTTTATCATCTCTGGAAATACTTGTATATCCTAAAAGTGCCATGTCGTGTATTGTAGGCTGGTTTGTCCAGCACCCAGACCCTTTTACCAAAGTGTTGTTTGCTGTAATACACACAGATGTTCCACTCATACAAAACATGTCTTTCATCATTAATTAATTTAGTTTCCAGAGAGATGAAAGATCCCTGTAAAGATAGAAAGTGGATTAACGTGTCATTGAGGCCTTGGCACAAAGTGCATATGGCTGTGAAGTCCACTGCTGTTCGTAGCCTGTTTGCAGCAAGTGCTGCTTAAAGATTAAGTGAAATTTTATACTGGACATATCCTACATTGCACCGTGACAAGCAGTGAAAAATTTATGGTCAATAACCCAGAAAATCTATCCCACAATGCACCGTGGAAAGATAAATGTCCAAAATCTCATCTGCAGTCAGCACCCATGATCCCCCCCAGACATCACAGCCTGGATACATTTCTAGGAGAAAGTCCGGCCGATGGTGTTGTTTCTAGCAACAGGATATGCAAAAGCATCATATGAAATGTTATACTTTTTAAGGGATAAGTTGAGAAACTGTCAGAACAAAACACAGATGTGTCTTAAGATTTTGATGGTGTTTTAAATTGTGCAACAGCGGTGACATCAGTTAAAACAAAGATAGATTTACCTGATGATGTCCAGAAGAGTTCCTTCTTTATGACTAAATATCACCCAGTTTGCATTCTGACGATCAGTAAAACTTAATGGATGAGACAATTATTTTGTGTGTTTCTCAAAATTACACTGGATACACATGGGCATGTCTGCTGCCTCCTTCTGGATCCAAAATGAACTATATTTAGGCACTTGGACATTTGTAGATGTGATGAATAAGCTTAAGCTTTGCTGACAGTGTCTGGGAACGGCCATTAGAGGGAGGCATTGCATCACAAAGTGACTGAACTGACGGCGGCTGTTTTTCTGTTACTAATGCTGTTTTCTGGCTGTCAGCTGGATAACCTAGTATTGATCAATAAAATCAAGGAGCAGCTGATGGCGGAGAAGATCCGGCCGCCTCATCTCTCTGCGGCCTCGGCCGCCTCCCAGCAGCCTCTGCCGGCTCCTCCGGGCCAGGCTGAGGGCGGCCAGCACGGGATGTCCAAAACGCAGCAGATTCCGGGCCTCCACAGTGGCGGCTCCTCTCAGCCTGACATCGCGCTGCACGCCCGCCCAGCGTCCAGCTCAGTCACAGGTACTGACCAACCCACTGCCCCCACCCGGCTGTCTCTGCTTTTACGCGGCTTAGTCACGCTTCCTGCGAATAAATGATGTTCCAAGATCAACTAAAATTGCATTTTGGTGTCTTTACTAGGCCGTATTTTGGGAGATGTAAACTTGAATTTGGATGATAAGGCAGCTTTAAAAGCCAGAGGATTATGGGAGGACTGGCATCTGCGTCAGCTAATAGACCATCCTTCGAGAACAAACCACGTGTCAGGTGAGCAAACCTCTCTAATGTTTCTGTTGTGCAAATAAAGGGAGTTTAGAATTTCAGGGTTACGAAACTAATCGTGAACTGAGCCTGTGGACACTGCGCCCGTCTGAACCACAACCGGCTCAGTTCAGTAAGGACCAGAGCAACCAATCAGAGGCAGCACAGATTAAGACTTATAAGTGATTGTTCCCTTTGGTCCTACCCTCCAAAAAATGAACAGATGATATCCTACGCAAATGAATCCAGTGGAATGGGTAGGCGGTCTTCTTTTTGACTAACCTCTCAGCACAGGGACATTATAAACAGCTACTAGTAAGAAAATCTGGACACTTGACCCAGCTGATGCAAAACTTCATCCTTGCTTTCTGGAAATGTCATATTTCTTTTGCACTGGTGGACAAATGCAATGAAAATACAGAAGCTCAAAGCTCAGCACCAGACGTTTTGACATCAAGAGATTTTTTTTTTTTATTCAAACAAAAAAAAGAACTTCATATAAAATTGAAAATAAATCATGTAGGGCAGGACAAAGCCTCGATGCAGCAGGTTTGCATGACTTCTAGATTGTGTTTTCTACCGTTGTTCAGGATTACAATGGCTTTATATTTGCTCTGAAAACATCTGCTAATGGCATTGCAAATCATTTTACATGAATGGAGACTCAAACTACCTCAGCAGAATCAGTTTTGTTAACATCACATACAATTTATTCTTGCATCCTGTTCATTTATCTACAGAATATCTAAAATTAGTGTGAAATTGATAACGCTTTAATGGTAGTTTACACTTCTTGCATTTTTAACCATGCTTTGCTTTTTATTGGTTTTGTGAATTACAGGTGCACTGGCTTATATTGACTCACTGTTCAGTGTGAGCAGCAGTCGGAACTATGCAGGAAACTCCTGAGCACACCTATTAAACACACAATACAACACATCCATTATGCACAAGACTTCTTTCAATCCAGTTTCTCCTGTTTGTCCTTCACCCTAACCTGGGATGGGAATTCCTTTGACATAGTTTCTGGTGATTCAGACAGTTTGGGTTTTTTCAAACATTGTATTTTGTGGAGGAAAAAAAAAAGAGGAGCATGAAGACTCCTCATGTATTTCTTCATGTTCACGTTCATGAAAAAATACCCAACAACTGAAATGAGACCATTCCGTGGGTTCCTCTTCATGTCACACGAATGGAAAGACAACAGGCCATTTCAGCACATGATGTGAAGAAACTGTGACCTAAACAGCTACTCTAACAACAAAGCCAAGCCCTTTTCCCAGACAGTTTCTGAAATACCACAGACATGCGGTCACACACCCTGGCCTAGTTTTTTTTTTTTTTAACTGTGTTAAGACCATAACGTGTTGACAGTGGATCAGTGTAGAATTGTTGCATCTTCCTTCATGTCTTTGCTTATCCTTGTTTAGGTTCTATGCACACAAAGGCAAGGCAATTTTATTTGTATAGCACATTTCATGTGCAAAGACAATTCAAAGTGCTTCACAATGAATTTAAAAGTACTTCAGAAATGTATTTCGTTGCTTGCCCATGAAGAGACTCGTACACAAGCAGAGCTGTTTTAAAGTCTATTCTCTCAGTGACAGGAAGCCGGTGCAGAGACCAGACTGATATGTTCACATTTCCTGTTCTGGTCAGCACTCTGGCAGCAGCATTCTGGAGGTTTTGCAGCTGTCTTACAGCTCCTTTAGAGAGCCCAGTGAGCAGGCCATCACAGTTGTCCAACTTGGTCAACCTAGTCTAAAGGCAAAATAGATGAATCCCAGTTATCTCTTTGTTCCCACCTGCCTCCGGCTATAGCTGAAGGATGAGGCCACAGTGATTCTTTTATGTTTTATTTGTGGTTTTCTCATAAAATGTATCAGTCTTCTAATGACTCACCACAGTAGGATTAGTGGGATTACGATTCTTATTTGTTAAATTCATGTCTTTTGAAGCAAGCATCTGCTTCTTTTGTTTTATCGCCAACTATATGAAATATTGTTGTTAAAAATGTAGCTTTCATTGTTCATCCAGATAAATAAACCATTTTTCTGTCTGTTGTAATCTCTTCTTCAGTCTTTTACATAAATCTGCACATGAATAATCAGGTTTCCTCCTGTGTTCTCATTGTCTACCCATCAGGTGTGGCACTGGCATCCAGAACCGGAAACCTCAACACCTCAGAGATAATCACATCCCCGACGTCCACATCAAGCAGCCACAGTCGGCTCGGTGGAGCACCCCCCCACCACCTCCTCTCAGGGTTAGCCGGCGGCCACAGGATAGAGCCTGGGAAAAGCAACGGGGGACTTTTGGGACTGCTAGGGCCTCCGCCAAAGGACGAACGAGGACGCAAAAAGATCAAGGCGGAGAATGGCTCGTCTCTTTTGGTCGTCCCCTACCCGATCCTCGCCTCAGGCAACGAGCAGTCCTGCGTCACTATTTCTGCAAAGGAAGGAAAAACCTACAGGTCAGAAACAAACTGCATGGAACCGTTAAAGATAGTCTAGCCGTAACCCCCCCACCCCTGCCGCTCTAAGCGGGTGGGGGGGTTGTCAGCTGCTTACAGGAGTACAATCCCTAACGATGAAACATTAATTTGGTCCTTTTCCCTTCTCACTCTCCCTGCGATGGACTGGCAGACCGTCCGCCCATTGACCACTGGGATGGGCTCCAGTTCCCCCTGTGACCCCATTAGGGAATAAGCGCTAACGATAATGGATGGATGGTATTGCAACCAATACCATTATTATTATTACTCTCATCATTGTTGCGATAATTATTGTTATTATCATTATTATGGTTAGTCCTACTCCTTCTTACACCCACCATCCACATGTTAGGTTAATTGTTGGCTCTAAACTGCCTGTAGGAGTATGTGTCCCCATGATGTGATGGGACTGCCCCGACAATCATAGCTGACACTAGGAATAAGAGCAGTATCGATAACGGATTGATGGGTGATAACAACTATAAAAGCTAGAAAAATAGCCTTGAACCAACACAACCCCACAGACCACGTCATACCGGTTGTGAGAGCAAAACAAAAAGCATAAATGACGATGATCCGATGGAAAAAAAGTCTGCTAAAAACCTTCTGAAATGCAAAGCAAACTGAGACAAAAGGAGGATTTCAAAATTAAGCGAAACCAAAAACAGGTGCAAATTAGTTTAGCCTCTTCCATGCATATCTCTGGGAAAGTAGAAAATAACAGAAATGACAAAAGGATACGCCAAGCTGTTACAAATTGTGACTGGGTCAAACTTAATGTTTTTTCTGTATTTTTTCCAATCTCTGTCACTGTGTCGTCGTAGGTGTAAAGTTTGTCCGCTGACCTTCTTCTCCAAGTCAGACATGCAGATTCACTCCAAAACGCACACAGAGGCGAAGGCTCACAAGTGTTCCCACTGCACAAAGACCTTTACCAACGTATCCTACCTTGCCCAGCACCTGCGCATCCATTTGGGCGTCAAACCGTACCGCTGCTCCTACTGCGAGAAGTGCTTTCGCCAGCTCTCCCACCTGCAGCAACACACAAGGTCTGAGCTGTCCGCTGCCTATGTTCGTCTTGCTATTGACCACTGAAACAAGAGTGTGCCATTTCACACATCTTAGCTAATGAACTCTGATTCATTAGCTAACATGTAATCATCATTTCTTTTTTTGTATGTGGGGTTTAAAAATGAAGGCAAAGTCCTGGGGATTTACGGCCTACAGGACGGTGTCGGAATGTATTTCAGTGTATTCCCAGAGTTATTTTAAGTTTCAGTTTTATTTTACTTTGAGTTTAAACTGAGATCCTTTTGGAAATGAATCATACTGGCTCCAGAATTTTTGTGAATTCGAAGTGCTGAGACTTCAGATCAATAGTTTTGGGAATAATTGTATTGGTGCTGAACTGACTAAATGTTAGGAATATGTTTGACTTGTTTCAGCCATTATTTCTTGATTGCTTCAAAAAGACATGTCTTAAGAATAACTGTTAAAATAAGAATAGAAAGCCAATATTTTGGACGTTTGTGCTGGTTGGTAATGAATGTTTCATCGGGAGTATTTTTTAGTTTTCTGACTAACCTAATCGAACTAATTTCTCTTGTCCTAGGATCCACACAGGTGATCGGCCATACAAATGTGCTCATCCGGGATGCGAAAAAGCTTTTACCCAGCTTTCTAATCTGCAGGTAAACAGGAGCTGATTGTCTTTTCTGGTCTTTGTAAGCACCTGAATGGGATCTTAAAATGTTAGGGCTGGTCTCAGGTTTGCTTTTCACTGTCCATCTTATAACTTCTGATGGAAATCTGCTACAGAAGAGGCCATGTTTATTTATGAAAAGGCTGAAAAATCCTTTAATGATGAACTTCTGTCATGATTTGTAAAGATGCCACACAGTCTGCCTCTTTCAGTCACTCCATTTTCATTTAATTTCCTACCTCCTTTAGAATAGTAGTTACAGTTACTATCCAGTGAATTGCAGTGTTCTCTTTTTAACAGCGTTCCTCTTTTGGCATATTTCTTAGAGTGTTTGCAGCTCTCCATTTGAACATCCTCCTGTTGATTTAGATGGCAGAAAATAGATGCAAATTGTGCAGAGGGAGGGTGAAATGAGCAGTGAGGAGGGCCCTCCTTTTTGTGTGCAATGCGTGCGGTCTGCCCTCACAGCCACGGGCGCAGATTTGAGCTCGGGTCTTAACACATCTCTCAGCTCTTTGAGACAGATGATGATCACTGTTTTTGTTTTTTTTGTCTTTCTAAAGTCTCACCAGAGGCAGCACAACAAAGACAAGCCTTTCAAATGCTCCAACTGTTACCGTGCCTACTCAGACTCTGCGTCGCTGCAGATCCACATGTCAGCACACGCCATCAAAAACGCAAAGGCCTACTGCTGCACCATGTGCGGCAGGGCGTACACCTCAGTGAGTGCAAAGCCCACGTCTTTCGTTTTGTTATCCCAAATCAACTGCGGAATATCTACTTAAAGACACCCATTTGCTGTTTTTCCACAGGAGACGTATCTCATGAAGCACATGTCCAAGCACGCCATGGTGGAACATGTGATGCCCCATCTTTCACCCCACAGGACAGAGTCTCCAAACATTCCTATACGGATCTCCCTTATCTGATCTCCTCAGCCATCCCCTGCCCTCCCATCACAGACTCTTCTTGTGATACGCCACTCTGCTCCTCTAAGGACCAGGCGACCGGAGAAAGCAGGCTCTGAAAAATGTGCCAGTATTTCGAGAAGAGGTGCTCCTCTGAAGAGTGCGTCCCCTTCCTTTTCTTTCAGACCAGATAGTATTAAAAGGGACATCCAAAGATGATTTCTCAGCACTTTCAGGCCTGAGACTGACAGGTCAATTTTTTTTTTTCTATGAGACTTGACAGGAAAAGAAAGCATCGCTCCAGGCAGCTACATAACAAATCTGTCTTTTTCAGTTTTTCATTTTGCAGATTAATTTGTCTTTTTATACGCTCCTTTCTTTTCCTCCATGAAGTGTTTGCAGAAAAATATATTTGCATCTGAAACAATAGTCTTCCATTAGCCAACTTAACGTAAACGTGTATGGTTGTGTATTGTGTCCCCTCTCCTGTTTGTGTTTACAAGGTTTTAATCAAACACACAGCTCTAACACGCACATTTACGAATTTTACATTCTTTTTTGCAGTAATTGTAAACATCCAACCTTACCTCAAAATCTTATAGATGTGCTTTTTTTTAATATGCAAATAAATTGGGGGCCATTGTCTTTTACAACAGAACAACTCCTTGTGACTGTGCCTACAGGTAAAGGCTCTGAACTTTAAGTCCTCATGCAAAAGCTTGTTTATAATTTATTTAACATGATGTCAAGGGATGCAAGAATTAGGTAGAAACAACTTTTCATGGGGGTTTTGCGTACCTGTTGGTTTCTGACCTTTTTAGCCTGGATAATGTCCACAAAAAGATAAACCTAAGTTTGAGAGTGTCTTAGACAGTCAATTATGAGCAATGGTTGAAAAGGTAATGATGTTAGTACTTTTTAACACTGGTTACCCCCCCAAAAAACTACAATGATGGATGTTTATTCTTTCCAGGCTCCATTGCCCGCACACGATAGGAAAATCAAGCACTTTGGATCTTCGAAAATTGAAGACTTTGGGTCTTGTCCTTTCAGAAATCAATGGCGTACTTTTAGTCTTTTTAATGAATGATGCTCCCACGTGTTGACTGCTAAAGTTTGTAGTGATTTTGCTCAACTAAAACATTTGAAAGTCAATGTTATTTTTCATTATTCTTTTTTTTTCCTGATACGTCTCCTTTGCAGTTGAAATTAGTGCAGTTAGTTTCTGCATGTAGTATGTGCATTTTAAACCTGACAGGTGTGCGATTTCCCTGCTGATCGTGTGAAAACACTTTGGTAAATTAACCCATTCTTCTCTCTGACTTTGTCTGGACCAGTTCTCAGGTGTTTGACATCTACACCGCACATCGTTTTTTTCACTTTACAGTGGAAATCTTGACATTCATAAGCATTCCAATCCTTTTTTTTTCTGAAGGCTTTTGTCCCCTGCTGTGATGATGCCGCAACCAGATAAAAGACATGTCAGAGTTCAAAAACAAATGTCTCCCTCTGCAATCTGTAGCTGCTGTAATCTAATGTCTTAGTACCAAACCCACAGTACCTGATTGAATCTTTATGGATATGCAGGTGTGATAACTATAAAAAGTCAGCTGTACGTGTAATGACTTTTAGTATTTCTGCTTTATTCATCAGTATTGCTTCGAGTTTCCGGCTCTAGTTTGTTCGGAAGTGTTGGTAAATCAACAATTTCTAATGGGGGGGACTTGATTTCCACTACTGTGTTCCACTCTACTATGGTGAGGGCAACTTCTGAGGCATTACTGTCACTTTTTAAAGAGCTATGTGATAGGAAGAGTGAGAGTTCCCCACAAAAACACTCCAAACAACGATCAAACCGCTGAATACTAACCAGGACAATGAACATCAATTTATGGATTTGCGTGTTGTAGTGTTACTGGTCAATCAGTCTGTTATTTTTAAAGAACAATGATAAGGAATATGAAACAGACCAAATGGACCAAAAGAAATGTGCCTAATTTCCTGTTTCTGAAAAGTAGGCCCATTTCTGAGTGCCCCCACCAAGCCTCAGATATCTTGCATTATGTTACACCGGCCGATTTTGTGACATCCGTTTAGTTTATATCAACTATTACAATTGTGTCACCATGGGTGCTGATGAGTTCAGACTGCAAATTCATCTGTTTTTGTTAACAATATGTTGAGTGATTACACAAACAGTAATCAAGGTTTCCCTTATAAGTCATTTGAATGGAGACAGAGATTTCAAAAGACGTCATCACAACAATGCATTTATTTTATGCATTTCAATTGCAGATGTATTGTTTAGTGAAAGCATCCAGACCCAAAAAAGTCCCCATTTTTTAACTGTATTTATACTTTATCATTTTATATGCATTTAAGCCTTAACTTTGCTACAAGTCTTAACTTTGTTTGTTGTTCACTCAACTTTTGCCTTTTATGTCAGAGCATGATATATACTGTAAATAAGCTATGTTAAGTGTCATCCTGTTTATAATAAAAAGCTATGTAAGAAAAGACTTCTCTTTTTTTCTGGCTGCATGCACTGTGCACACCTCACTGACATTTGATGCAACAAAAATGAAATGTTGATCGAAGCAGTGGTGTTAAGCTGAGCGATCTTTTGCATAACAGCTTTTGCATAACATTAAATCATCCACGCCACACCTGATACTTTTGTGTGATTACTTTTATTTATCATACAAAATGTTTTACCTCAAACTGGAACTTTTGTCTCTTTTGAAGAGAAAAACAGGCTCTGATTGGACATGTCCCAAAAAACATAACAGGGACTTTCTCCAAATATCACTGTGGATATATATATGCCCATATTAATTATTATTTCAATACATCTTAAGTTTGTTCCCCGTGGTTGTGATTCCTTGTAAAATTCCACCAGCTGTTGAACTCTCATGGCCCATGTTTGTGATGTTAGCACCTCCCTTCATTTCAGTTCTTGAAACAATTTCGGAACAAATACTATCATTATCACATTATCTTTTTCTTATTATTGTGTCAATCTAAACATAAAAATGTGTATTTTATTTTTGTTTGTCATTGTTGCGGACGTTGCGGTCCCCGTTCACGTTGTGGGTAAAAATAGTTAATATGTGCCTAAAAGCAAATATCTGCAAACTCTCCCCTCGACGATGAGTCTAACAATGTTTAGTCAAAGTTGCTGTGCTGTCGCATTTATTACATTTCTGAACGAACATAGAAACTTTAAACGCAAAGTTCCGCATTAAAGGTTTAAAACTTTTAGGTCTTGGACACGGGGGTGTTTCACGTGGGGGACACGCCCCAATCACTGTGTATTTACCTGGGAGCTGAACAGACCTGCTGCCAAACTTATTCTGACCCGCCGCCCAAAATAGACTGACAACATTCTGGATGACTTATGAGAACTGCCAGCTGACATAAACTTACAGGTAGGGTCATGCTTTATCTCTGATTTAATACTTTTTAGAACTGGTTAGAAGTGACAACAAACTCATCATATCTTTACATTTCCCCGCTGACTAAAATCCACACATCATTTATCCACACGCTTTATTCTTAGTAGGGTGGCGGGGGGACTGAGATTTTTTTATCTGAATGTGTCTGATTTTGAGTTCACCCACACGTTGCGTAAAACCCCATGCTTTATTTCGTTTTGAATGCAAAATTCATCAAAAACACGACCAAAAAAATGACGATTTTTTCATCTTGAAGGAATCATTTAGTCGAAAAAATAGTTTCAGGCATCAAATTTGACAGGGAAATGGATCAGAATCGGTTTGATGAAAATGTTGACTTGAAAAACTGAAAAGGCTCTCCCAGCCGTAATGTCAAATGTCAAATGTGCCAGAGCATCTGTCTGTCCCTGTCAGCTTCCTGCATTGCCAGAGAGTAGCTTTAAATCTGTTATGATATTTATTTATTTGTTTATTTATTTATCATTCTTGTCTGCTGGCTGATGCTGATTTTATGTTTTAAATCTGATTCCTTTTATATAATTAAAAACTGCTACTATTGCTATTATCATTAAGATACAAGCGTTATTAGGATGCAAAATTGTAACTTTTTAACTGACTTAGATAAAAATAATATTCTTACTTGTACATATTCTGTTCTTACAGTTTCCTGTTTCTAAACCATTGAGGCGCTTGACACCTCTGTCTCTGACAAGTCTTCACACTTTCACACCATTTAGCCATGGGGTATTTATTTTACTCACACTGAAACATCTGTGTATATATATATATATATATATATATATATATATATATATATATATATATATATATATATATATATGCATGTGTGTGCACACACGTAAATACATGCATATACATATATGTCTTGGTAGATGTTTTGAAGAAAGTCTAAACTGACATTGTTGGCCTTGTTCCCGCAGATGCATTCAGAAAGTGAAAAGTTTTTGGAAATATGTACTTCTGTTCCCAATTACTGTCTGCATTGTGCACAACATTGTTCCAGCTGTGCAGTAAGTACTAAAATAAACTCAAATCTACCACTGACCCAAAGCGCTCTGTTGTTTTACAATGTTTTTCTTCATTATCTATATTTCAGAATTGCAAGCAACATTCATTTTTATGTATAATTTATAAAGAAATGTAATATTTTCCAAGCTGGCACTTGTGGGTGCGTGGGGGCTGACTCACACATACTTGAGAAAGGAAAATTCTTTAAATGAAATTCTATTTTTATTCAAGAATGTAAAATCTTACAAAATTGGTACTAAATCATCATTAATTTGATCTTTTTTTATATACTGTATAAATCTAAATTAAATAAAGTGCAGGTTAAAACTTTGTATGTTCAGGGTCCTTTTGATCCAGCCTGCTGGAGAATAATTAAAAGACAACAATATCTATCATTAGCCAGTGGTCCACATTTTTATTTCACATTTGCAACACAGAATTATTCCAGCCTATGAAGTAACTCACATCACAAAAAAAAGAAAACCTGAAAGTTGAATATGATTGATAAAAAATTGGCTACTACAACCCTGTTTATATTATTGATATTTTATGAAAACATACTCTTTTTTGCTACAAGCTGTACGTTACTAATATCTCTCCAAGACCGCTTCAAGAGACAATACCAACAAAATCTCAACATTATTGTCCTTGTTACTGAGAATAGGTTGTTTTTTATGTCAGGTATTTGATAGGTTTTATACCCATGAAGAAGTGCACTTTGGAAAGTGCAAATGAGCTGAATTTGGACGTCAGTGTTGATGCCAGCCTTAGTCTCTGGTAAGAAAATTTAAACCCTAAATTAAACGTATATTTCTATGCATCACTACTCTTTCATTTTAACGCCTGCTTGTGAATGCTTCCTTTTTGAAGGCCAGATAAACCACAGAGCGGAAAAAAACTGACACAGATCGGTATCTGACAAACTTTTCCGTTTTTGCGGCCTCATACAAAGCCAAGTAATTGCTGCTCTTAAAATCATAGATGTCCTAGATATCCAGAAATATTTGTGCAGCTCTTCTTATGGACTATTCCAAGGCGTTTGATACGGTTGATCGTGTTGTTTTGATGACTAGACTTCACAGGATTGGGTTTTCTGACCAGGTTCTCCAACTATTTGTCCGATAGAACTCTGTCCAAGCTGCTGGGTCCTTTTACCCTCCAGCCTATTTTAAAGGCAGGGCCACAAGGCATTGCTTGCATTGATTTCTTTTGTGTCCACTTGCTCTGTTTCAGGTATAGGTCCGACGTGCAAACATGCACGCCTTGGAGAGCTCCCATCATCTGGGAGGGAATGTTTGACCCCGAACGTTATGACAAACTGCACAAAACAGAAGGCTCCTCCGTTGCTCTTACAGTATTTGCAATTGGCAGGTTTGTTTTTTCACATTTACAGTCTGTTTATTACAGTCCAAAGTCGGTCCTGGAGGGCCTCGGTCCTGCAGGTCCTCTGTCCTGCAGGTCCTCGGGGTGTCCCTGCTTCTACACACCTGAATCCCATCCATGCACCATTGGCAGGTGTGTGCAGATGTTAATAGTCTTTAGAAGAGATCCATCTCTACAGAATCAGGAATGTTGAAGCAGGTGAACCCGCAGGACAACGGCCCTCAAGGACCGGATTTGGACACCCGTGGTCCGCCATTGGTTTGGGAAGCGGCAAAATATTTGAAGTAACAGTGAATGTAGACGATACACCAACCAACCACTTTTGTCTCCACCAACACCGAAGGTATTTGGATGCTTACCTTGGGAATTTCCTGCGCTCGTCGGAGCAACACTTCATGCTCGGCCTGCCAGTGTGTTACTATGTGTTCACGGACGCGCCCGAGAGGGTGCCGCTCATCAAGCTGGGCCCGCAACGAAGTCTGAAAGTCATCAAAGTGGCAAAGCACAGCAGGTGGCAGGATATTTCCATGATGCGGATGAAGACCATATCGGACGTGGTAGAGTCAGACATTCGCCACCACTTCACACACGTCTTCTGTTTTGACGTTGACCAGGTGTTCACGGGGAGATTTGGCTCTGAGGTTCTGGGCGATTCGGTCGCCCTTCTTCACGCGTACTACTACCACCTTGACCAGTACTGGTATACCTATGACCGCAACCAAAAGTCCACCGCCTACATGGAAAGTGGGGATTTTTACTACCACGCTGCCATCTTTGGAGGCACATGGAAGAGTGTGAAGGCCTTGACCGATTTCTGCTACAAGAACATCATGGAGGATAAACAGAACAACGTGGAGGCTGTGTGGCACGACGAGAGCCATCTCAACAAATACTTTTGGCTGCACAAACCCAGCAGAGTTCTCTCTCCGGAGTACTGCTGGGACACCGAAATCGGTTACAGACGTGACATTCGCACCCACCGACTGCTGTGGGCAACAAAACAGTACGATAAACTGCGCAGGCCATAGTGCATTTGAAGTGACGTGTAAAAGAAACGTGTCAGTTCCTCTACAAACTGCCACCAATAGCGTACAAACAGCAAGACCATCCGCTGGAATATTTACTTTTCACGGGCTAGAACAGTGGTACAGAAACATTTATCTATTTATAACGCGGCTGTGTTTTGTACATCTTGGTTCAAATGTGTAAAATGATTAATGAAGTTAAAAAATGGTCATTTCTGGATATCTTTTATAAAATGAAGATGGTTCCATTTGTGTGTCTGTTTGCCGCTTTCCCCACTCCCTATTTTAACTCAGAATATTTGTGGTTGATCCAGAGATTGTATTTATAATGGCTTTAAAAGTGAGGTTGTTCTAAATTGATGCTTCATTTTTCACTTTTGAATCCCATTTGGTTTCCACAAACATGTTGTAGATAGCTTGTTGTGTTTTTTGAGGGGGGGTTGTTGTACTTCTATTATGTTGTTTCTCCCTCATGTGGGAAGTTCAGGTTAGTCTACCCCTATTTTATGAGCTTTGGTTGTTTGTCTGTAGGTCAGTTTGGTTTCCGTTTTGTTACTGTTCAGTTGACCCCAATTGAGTTGGGGCAAAATCTTAGTCATTTATCATTTGAGGTATTTTGCATTGACATTTCACATTGTGTTCACCATTTTGATTTTATTGAATGGAAGTTTTATAGTTTTTAGAACACTTTTTATCCTTGTTTAAGTCTGGTTACTTAAACCTTGTACGATGATGGCATGTTTGTGCTTTAGGGGGAAAAGGGATTTGAGAATAGGGTAACATTACCCCCTCTTTTACATATATTTTATTATTCCTGCCTCTCTTCCAGTGCAGGTGGATGGGCTCCAGCCCCATTACGTGACTGTATTTGAATTAAGTGGATAGAGAAAATAAAGTAATGGATATATCATTGACCTGATAGATGAAACAAGCCCACACCCGTATTTGTTTGTGAGCTTTGGTTCCCACTGCCAGGTCAGCCTTCTGGGCAGCTTGTTTGTTCATGCAGGAGAACTCGCTAACTTCTGGATTTTAATTTAATACATCACCAGAGGTGATGCATGAACCCATTTATTGTTGATTTGCTGTTATTAATGTAATTTAAAAATTCAGTTTGTAGAAATGTGCTTTTGAGTAACTGTAAACTCTCCTTCTGTTCATCATTGGAACTGTCAAGTGTATGCATTTTAACTGTTGTTTAAAAAATGGAGCTGAAAAGGGTTTTGTAAAAGTCTCATAAATAATCCTTATATCTTAAAATGCTATTTTTTTAAAATAATTTTGAGTTGTGCTTGATTCCCATTTTTGATTTGCACATTTTGCCATTTATAGCTTCTTTTAAGTTTCACTCAGGACTGAAGATTTTCTTGTGTTATGATATCTGAACATTTTGATTTTTTTTAATATATGTAGAATTTATTGCACAGATTTATAGACAATTATGTTTTACTGTAACCCTTTCAAGTTTGTATGCAGACAGTATATGCTTCCAAAACACACATAGAACTTTTTAGCAGGAACTATTTGAGACCGCAGGGACATTTTTGTTTCCGACTATGACTCAGCTTTTCTGAAAGCAACTGTAAAATGGACAATTTAAGGATTATTTTAATTAAAATTTTAAAGAACATTCAAAATGACTCTTTGTTTCAGTGCTTTTTGGGAAAAAACAGAATGAAAAGTACAATTCAGTCTTGACAATGACAGTTAATCCTGCTAAAGCTGGAAGCTCTAAACATGTCTACATATATATTTAATGAAAAAAACACTGTTTCATATAAGAAAAATTAAGCAGTATAAAATTTTATTCAATAAATTGACTTAAAAATATAACAGTTCCTGTACAATACATCAACTTGCAAACACATAAATCCGGGGAGACAAACTTTCAGAGCTGTTGAGCGCAGACTGAGGAGCTGAGTAGCCCCAGAGGATGTGTGGAGGTCAGGTTTAGGTAGCCAAGCTCCCCTGTTTGCCGTAAGGCTCCTGATGTGCTACACTGAAAATGAGTAGTAACATCTGTCTGCTTGGTGTGACTGTTATGTGTACCATCCAGAGTCTCAGACGGAGCCACCTTAGAGAAACTAAGTACACATGGTGTTTTTATTGACCACACAAATGCATTCTATTGGGGTTCTGAATCTGGATCAGCCTTACCTTGACGTGTGCACAGGGAGAGGTGCAAAAATCTGCAGGCGATTTGACATTTTATGTAGCTCCTAATCAGAGAGAAGGACAAATGATGGATAAATGAACTTTTGAATGGAGCTGTTGAGTGAAAGCCAAAAAGCAGCTCTAAAGCCTACACTTTGGTGCGTGATTCAATATCTAAACAAATTTATTACACATAGCCATTAAATGTCCAAGAACTATCAATCACCACCAGATGCCGCATCGCAATCTGTCATTGGAGAAACTGTTTTCCAATACAATAAATTATTTTTTTTAAATGGAGAAGTTTATAAAACATAACCTTTATTACGGTAATTTGGACAATCGGCATAAGTAGTGAAATACATCCAGATTTCAGACGTTCCCTTTCTGATGGCATTACAGGCAGGTGAAAGATATACAGCCAAATCTTTTTTTCAGAATCAGTGTTAATGGAAAAATGTATTTTCAATTTACTACTACTACTACTACTACTAATACTCACTCTATTGTCTTTCTTTCTCGTTCTAAACTGGATTTTCTGTTGCGTTCAATGCAATGCAGCCTCTGAGGTGGCCAGACATTCTTGGCATTTCGGCAAAACTAAAGCCTGACAAATATAAAAGGAGCATGAACAGATATTGCCCAGCAGAACATGAATCGAAAGATCTAAAGCAGATTTAATTGTGAACATTACCTCAGCAAAGTGCTGCGACTGCAGGTTCTGCAGGCTGCGTTCCAGGACGGCTATCTGGTTGGACATGTGCAATATTTTGTTTCCCAGTTTCCTGTTTTCCATCTCTAAAAAATCCACCCTTGAAATGATAACAAGAACAAATCATTAATTTCTGTTACTACTCAACCAATTGCTGCTTCCTGATACACTGGTAGTTATGAGGTGTCTGAACAGAATATTTGAAGAGGCCAGGGAAAACCCCTTACTGTAGTACCTGCACTTAGACAAAGAAGCTATTCGAATACTATCTTCCTTGTTGTGCTGTTCCTCATTGAGCTGTTCCAACAGCCTTCTCCTCTCAGAGAGCAGCTTCTCATTTTCCTCCATCATACATGTCACCAGCTCTCTCTCCTGCTTAAAAAAATTAGGAAAGAAATTAATTCAACAACTTCTAAATCTGCAGATATCAATTATGCTTCTAAGGGGTCTGTAAAAATGTTTTTCTTCAAAAACCTTTGAACTTAAGATGCAGGTCGCATGTACTGGAAAAAACCCCACACAGTGGAATGTTTTGAGTCACACTTGCTCAGAAAGGGTGTAAGATGATTGTGAGAGTTATACTGAGTGATCTAGACTCCTCTATACTCCTCATACAGAGAAGTCCCAGAAATCACATGAATTGTTTACTTTTTTCTTACTAGGCAACAGTGCTGAACATAAAAGTGTGTAACTTAAAGGATTAAATACTGAAAAATGCAGTAAAAGGTAAGAGTTTAAAAGCAGAGATCAAGACTACTCTGGATGTTCTGCAGCTGTTTTACAGCCACTTAGAAAGCCCAGTGAGCAGGCCTGTACAGTAGTCCAACCTGCTGAATCGGTCTTTCTAAGTCTGGTTTGGACACTAGTCCTCTGCTGAGGATGCTGATATTACTGATTAAATATACCGTTAAAGTTCGGGTGCGAGTGCTGTATAACGCCAATAATGTACCCATATATTAAAGGTGCAGTTATCTCAGGCTTAGTCATTTAAAATGACATGGTGATTAATAATTAAGCTTCAGTTGCAAAAGAGTCCAACCAAAGCAGAGAGAAACAGTCCACCAAGTGCATTCAGACAAAGAAAATAAGCTTTTTGCTGTTTAAAATATGCATAAAAACAAAGACAAAAAAAACTAGACAACTAGACAACAACAAGACACTGAAAACTGTCCATACCACAGTCATGTGTATAATGACTAAAATGCACACGACCCACCTCAAACATCCTATTACTTCCTCACCATAAAAGGTGGAAAAGTAGCAGACTCACCTTCGCCAATGAATGGGAACACAAGGACATCTCTCTCTCAAGACTTTTTATCTGTTCATCACGCCATGTGGTTTCATAATCATATTTCTCTTTGGCTCGTAACAGTTTCTCCTTTTGTTTTGCCTTCATGTTGTGGTATTTACTGTGAGAAGGTGAGTGAACACAAAACAAAGACTGGGATGAAAAATAACGAAAAACAAAAAGATTTCAGTGTGATATAGAGAAGCTGCCTGGTATGACACACAGTCTATCACACACATTTCCCCATATGATGAGCTGCTTTTGAGATTTGCTGAAAAAAAGTGGAAACTTCTTGGTTTGTTGACCGTAAAATAATTCTCTGTATTTTTTTAAATGTGTAGTTGAGTGGTAGTAGCTTTGTCACCATGTGTCTTATACCTCCGTTCTTTGTCAAGGCATTTAAGAGTTTCACAGAACTCTTTCTTTAGTGTTTCACACCCATGTTGACTGAGTGATGTAGTCTTCACAGCAGAATACTCCTCCATATGACACTCCTAAAGGGTAAGTACAAAAGCATCAGCACAAAGAGGAAGTAGTCGTTTCAGTTTTCCACATTCACTCATTTGCTGCATTTTGTCCTCTGAATAAACACCAGAAAGCTGCAGCTTCAGCTCTCCAGTGCTGATAAATCAGATTTTGATATGGGACACGACAGAGCTCCAACCACTATAAGAACATTAACTGTGGTGTTGTGCTTACTTTGCAGAGCTGGGTCTGAACTTTGCTATCTTTTAAAACGAAGGAACTTTCCAGTTCCGTGTGGGTGTTTCTAACAGACATTTTTTCCAGCTTTCACATCATTCAAAGATCCTCACACAACCTTTCACTTTCAGTACTTCTTTCAGTCATCATACTAGCAAGCAAAACTTGAATAAGAAGGATCACACACTTTCAGATTTGAGAACACTTTCACAGAAAAAAAACTCTGGAAAAAGAGCAAAACGTTTACTCAACCTCTTCTCCTCACTTTTACTTATTTGCGTTTCTCCTTTTCTATAAGACTCTGCATGTGAACAGTTAATTTACTCTTTATTTGTGTTTCTCCTTTTCTATAAGATGCTGCATGTGGACAGTGAATTTACTCTTTATTTGTGTTTCTCCTTTTTCTATAAGATGCTGCATGTGGACAGTGAATTGACCGTGCAAATTTAGGCTAATTCTATAGTTCTTTGCCAGAACAATTGTGTACTGTGTTTTTTCTCCGCGCAGAATTGACAGGTGGGTGAGTTGTTGCTATTGAGATGGATTTTGTTGAGACTGTGCGATGGTCAGACTGTTTCAGTACAGATTATTAAGCCCAGACACCTGGGGAAATCATTCCGGCACATTCACTGGCCTGGTTAGCTTGAAGAGCTGCAGTGAGGTGATTCTGCTGCTGCTCCAGCTGCTCGCTCTTCTTCTGCAGGATATCGAGCTGAGGCGAATAAGAAAACATAGGTTTATATATGAAAATACACTGCATCTGTGTGCTTTACGAAGGCAATGACTTAAGATTTTAAATGTTGTGCCATCAGATCTAATCCAATTTTCTATGCTCCCTGCCCTTCGCTGTCTCAATTCACTAATCGAACCCCTCTGTATAAAAGCTCTGCTTCACTCTCTCTGTCAGATTTCTGTCAGTTGCATGCCCTTACATTGTCCTATTATCCTTAGTTTTTAGTCACCCATCATACTGCTCTGGTTAATATTTGTGTTTTTTCTGGCTCTTTTGTCCTTAGATCCGTGCTTTTGCTGTAATTTACCTCTAGGTCTTTTGAGTTTTATTACTTTAGTGTTGTTTTTTAAAGTGTGTCTAGGCTTGCCGCAATTTTTGCCATCCTTGTTACATTGGTAAATGCAAAATCAGAGTCTTACTTCAGCCATTTTTGCAGCCTGGTCCAGCTCTACCTGCTGCTCCATCCTCTCAGCCTCCACCTGCAGAGACACGACCTGGAATAAAAATACAAAGTAAATTATGTACACTGTACAGCTATAAATGTTACCAAAGAATCATTTGCTCTACATCAACATAATAACTAAGATATCTAATGGCCTAATTTTGACCTAAACCAAGAAAAAACTAAAGATTTCAAGTCCATTAAAGAGGCCAAAGTCAGTCGGTAATAATGAAGTTGCACTGTATGAAGTCTCACTGTATGGCTTTCTATTGACCAAATTTGATTTATTTTGACACTTATATTTTCCTTCTTCAATAGACGGGCTGACTCAATAGGCTTTTCCTCAAAAAGCATGCCTTCATTTCCTTTCCTGCAATCAATGTAAATTCAATGATAAAGTTATTGGTCTAAAGCCTAAGAGCAAAACTAATTGGGTGTAATACTAGTGTCATATCATAGATATGACATTAGTATTACCTATCAACAATTTGACATTAACAAATATCTGTATTTGTGGACAGTTATTATAAAAATACACTTAAAAATCTCCGATCCCCACTCTCAGTTGCTTAGAAAATTACAAGTTTATGCTTTAAAACAGCAAGAATTGTACCCCACAGCTCTATCAGCCACCATGAATCTGGGCCTATCTTAAAAAATGTTTCAGAGAAGGTATGTCTGTCAATGTCCTCTGTCTGCCTCTATAGGGGGACATTAGAACATGTTACGGTGGTGTTATTTCGACAGAGAAGATGCAGTTTTATTACTATCTGTTGGAGAGAGCTTCTCTCAGCATCCAGTGAGCGCACCCTGCTCTTCAGAGCTCTAATCTCGAGGTCCAGGCGATCATTCAGGTCTTTGGCCTTCCGTAGCTCTGCCATTTCTGTTCAAAAGCAAGTAATACCACAAACTTATGACGTTTTGCTATATGCATAAAAGTAAATCAGACAATAGGTGTTTGTTGGGGTTAAACTCACCATACTTCTTCAGTTTTTCGACCTCCTGTCTAAGCTGCACCACCTCCTGTTGTGCAGACTGCAGTTCTGGCTCTGAAAGGGAAAGAAACCAGAAAGATCCATATCATTCTGTTTATATCACAGCCAGCAAAAATGTACTTTCATTTTAATTTTCAGAACAGTGTAAAGGACAAAACACAAGAATAGCAATTGAATAATACTGACGGATTATGTTAGAAATTAGAAATTGCCTCTAGATTGACAGTTTATGATTAATATCTCTCACCATATGCTCTTCTAGTCAAATGAGCAGACTCTAGCTCGTCAGTCAAACGGCGGATCTCCTTGTGGGCCATGGCCAACCTACGGGAGCCCTCTTCTAGATCCCGCTCCAAACGGGAACACGCCTTCTGCAAGCTGCTTCCATCACCAGCCAAAGGTCTGGCCTCAGCCTACAAAGAGATTAACACACCAGCTGACCGAAGGGACTCAAAGGCTCTTAAAGTAACATAGTAGTAGACTATGAGCAAAAATATTCAGAAATCCAAGTAAGACCTGTGAAGACATCTTGAGAAGTGCAGTGAAAAAGATGCACCAGTGGCATTTTAACACGGAATCCTTCTAGCCATGCAAAGTTCCCTATGCTGAGCTGGAAACTGAGATTAAAAGACACTGGGAAGACAAAAAGAGGTTGCAGTTAATGTGGATGCTGCTAAAGACAACATGCAAAAAGCATGACGTGCAAAACACACTGAAATCTACAACACAAATCACATCAACACCAGTTCCAACTGATCTGGGATCAATTTCCGTGTTTTGTTAGAGCTTAAAGGATGCACTACCATTACACGCACACATATTTACATACATATATACATACTGGGATAAAAGCATGTTTGCTCTGTGTAGCCTTGCTGAGCCCCAAAAGTCTCTTCCATCCACCTTGCAAGTGGCGTGGGGCCCTCTTGTGGGTACACTGTGGAATTACATTCACCATAAGAATGAGTATCAGTACTTTGGGCTTTTGCCATCCAAACTAAATTAATTGATATGATGAAATTTCACAAAAAAGAACAAAGATGGAGACCTTATTTTCTCACTTTTTGTAGTAGTAGAAAAGCATTTCTGTCTAAGCTAAAATCTGACCATTTAGCTTATCAATCTGTATTTGTGGAGGTTTTTAAAATGTAATTAAATGAAAAAAAACACACATGGAAATACTACCTGAAGGAAGAAGAAAACTCTATCTAGGAACGGGCCTTATCTGACCTGGCTCCCACTGGTGTTCGGTGCTTGCGCTTCCACCTTCACAAAGCTCTCTGCTTTTCCGTCACCCGTCAGCTTGTCAGGATCCTCTGTCAGCTCAAGCAAAGAAGTCCTCTCCACCAGGAGGTAAGCCACCTGCTCACTGGGGCTGCTGTGAACCAGCTCTGTGAGGCCTTGCTGGTACAGCATTTTAGCCACCTCGCTCAACTGAGCATCTGCCAGAATAAAGAAAATACAGATAAGAAGCTGGAACTGCTTTTGGGATTATATATTAAATGTTATTTTTTAAACCATTTCAGGAAAATGTAGTAATGAGAAATCGGCAGTGATGACATTTAAAATTTTGAATTCTATCAATGTCCTTGCACTATTCAAACTCAGTTGACTAGCTGATATGCAGGATAAAATCCTCCAACCTTGAATTGATACGATGCGCCTCAGCTGCTCTCTGAGCTGATCGTTCTCGTCTTGTATCTCCTGAGCCAGAACATCTTTGTGCTCGGTGAAGAACCGGATCTGCTCCAAAGACTTGCGCACCTTCACAGACGGAAAGATTCTCATCAGAGATTATCTTCTCCCTACTTTTGCTCCCCGTGGATGGAAGGTCACGACATCATTTGCTCATCCGGTACCTCTGCCAGTTCGGCGTGGTGTTGTGACCGATGCCTTTCCAGATCCTGCGTCACACAGCTCAGGCGGCTCCTGGTGTGCTGGAGGACACGCCACAGCAGACACAGCCGGGCCTCCACCGAGGCGTCAGGACCCAGTCCCTCCTCTCTCGTCCAGGCAGCAATCTGCTCCAGCTCCTGGAGGCAACAATGCACACAAGGCGATGCACTTTAACTGAAATATCTCATGCTTAAAGAGGTGTGTCATAGGATGAATACTCATTTGCAAGCATATTCAAATCACTTGAGCGGTGTTGCTGCCAAGTATCTCATGTTAGGGCCCTGATATCCGGTGTTCATGTCCAACTTTCTTTTTTGGGGGGGGATTCAGTGTGTCGTTCTCAGCTCTGGACTGAGTTAACGCATCTTGTTTGCATATTTGATAAGAGTAGCTGTTTTTCTCTGTGTAGACCAGCTGGTCCTGCTTCCTCTGGATTAACTTCGTGACTAAACCAGATCAACTTTCCACTATTGGCGCGTCACTAAAGACTTATACCGGCGGTTTCAATTTAAATTTCACACTTTAGCACACACGGGAACTTCGTGGTAACGCGGACGCCTTCAGCGCGAGCAAGGAGAGAGTTGGTGAAACTGGAAAAAGCTCGTGTCTACGGCGTGTTTATCACATCTGTCTTATTTAAATCTCCGGTTTCTGGCTCTGCTTTAAGATGGCTAGCACTGTAGCTGTTGAGATAAACAACGATGCGTTCGGTACCTCTGCTTGATCCATCTTGGCTGTGCTGAGAAACAACTTTTCGGCCGAAGGCACTCACACTAACGCCAACATGTTTGCACGGAAGGGTACAAAACAACCCCCTCGACACAGAAAACTTCTCACGGTGCTTACAAGCTCCGAACACGGTACAGTTAAAGCACCAATCCGCCGTTTCTTTCACCGAGTGGTCCAGCTGTTAACGAGCCACCAGAACCATTCACTGCCCTCACGATGAACCGTGGGATTACAAAAACAGGGAAAAGATGTCACGCCAGAACCAGGCCAGAAGCTGAAAAGTCGAGAAAAGTCTCACCGAAGGGATAAGCACTAAAGCGAGACAATGAAAAATATATTTTCTGGGAATGTGTGAATTTAATTCAATTGGTGGCACAGGTATGCGTATTGCAGACGTGGTATATCCGAAGGTCCCTGAAGGCATCGTGCAGAACCGTTAACTCTGAGAATAACTTCAGGTTCATCATCACAAACGCCTTTTTCCCTTTAAGGTGAAAGGCTTAATTGATTTAATGTTTCTTTCTTCAGTTTTTAGGAGTGCAATACTACCACGATATTAAATAAACACATATTAAATAAACACATTTCCAAAATCATAGAAAAAAATTAAGGAAAATTAGAACGTATTGACTGCTCTTTACAGATTAGGGGTTTTCAAAGCTGGCTGTAGGCCCCATTGCAAAGAAAATGTCAAAGGGTTTGTCAGAGCTGTTCCACATGTAGAGTACTTGCTTAGTTTAGCACCATTTCTCTCAGATTCATTAGGAAATTCAGCCATGATGCCAAAAGCAGTCAACATGAGTCAGAAAACTTGTTATGTTTAATCACTTTCACCATAGATCACAATTTCATTAGCAAGATGTATCAGCAGCTTGGTAAGAACATATAATGTTGCAAATTGTTGCATCAGTGTATGGTTAAACAACACATGATTTCTGGATGAAAATGAGAAAATTCATTAATCAAGCAACATTTTTGGTCGTCCTTGCTGCATTATCGATATTTACAGGTTATGAGTGTTAATATGATAATGACAAAACAGCATAAATATTATGTCAGTTGGTAATAATTAGAACAGGAGGATCCAACAACCACATCACCAACATAAGTATGACACATTACATTTACATTTATATATATAATTATACATGGGGTGTAGAAATAGATGTGGAGATAAATTCTTTGTGTTGCAGTCTTGGTGGTCTGAAGTTTCCTGTATTTGCAGTCAAACGCAACCAGTAATCGGACCTTTCCTGTCTTAGAAGTGACCCACAGAGGAAGTGCTGTGGCAGTTTTCACACACAGCCGAGGGAACAGCAGGAAAGCATGTGCAGGACTGGCACAGGAATGGGGTTACTACTCAAACTGTAATCTTTTGAAAACCAAACATCCAGTGCACTGTTGATGAATGTGTTTCAGCTTCTGAGGGCAATGTGCTGGGTATGTTCATTTCTCTTTGTAAACACACCGGACTTCTGCAGTTCAACGTTGGAGAATAAGTTCTATGTTTACGCGGGTCCAGAGGAATGCCATGGCTGATGTTGAGTTGGTAACAAACCGCAGCTTTGAGGGGGAGGGCAGGGAAAGTTTTGAGGAAATGGGTGTTGAGAACTCCTCCTAAATCTTACCCCACATTACTCCTGTGCTCCATTCTATTTGTTTTTTAGGGCCGCGAGGGGCGGAAGAAGGCAGCAAAGGGAAAATTTGGTGGATCATAAAGGGTTTTGACAAAGAAAACTATCGGGTAAGACTTTCTTTCAAAGCAACCTTTGCTTATGACACTTACTTTTGATCTTGTATGCTTTCTAAGTTCATCACCATTGATGTGTCTGTGTCAAGAGCCTCAAGCTGTTATGTAAATGTCGTGTAATGGTTTCTAATCAATGTCGTTGGGCAAAACAAAAAGTGCACACTATTATGTCACATGATGTCTTGGAGGTTTTAACAGTAATGAACTGGCATTCAAGAGGGTCCAGCTCTCTTCACTCATTTTCTTCAATATGTCTCTGGCAAACAACCACACCCCTTTGGATGTGGATGACACAATAATGCATCACGTCACAAATAATCACATGGTCAAATAGTCTTAACATATTCTTAACACTGTCACTCAAAACACTCTGAAACACCAGCATAGCAGGCGCACAGTGAAACGCACCTGAGGTCAGGACGGAGCTCCAGAGCCCACAGCCATGACGCAAATGAAACTGGGGCTTTCAGTTCATTCAGCTTAGTGTGTGCCATTAGTATGTAGTGGAAGGCCATGGCAGACACAACGGGTGTTATGGGGAAGTCCTCGAGAACCAGCGTCAGCTGCAGTTTTCCCTGGAAACCAATTAATCATCAGACTTGTGTCATGTTGCCAAATGGTCATGATCTGGTCCAGTTTCCAACTGCAGCATTTTGAAGAAGCTGCAGATTTGTAGGTGTACAGAGTACAGAGCGTTACAATAATCAAATTAGGAAATAACAGACACATGGGTTTAATTATTAAGTAATTCAGTTGACAGCACAGGTTGTAATTACTTTAATTTGCACACTTTTTTATAGTCAGCAACAAAACCACAGATATTTCCAAAGAAACATGGTCTTACATGTGACCTTATTTAATCAAAATGTAACAGTTATATTTTTCCAAAAAAGAGGAAAGATTTTGGGCTTCTTTGCCATTACAGACAATAATAATTGAAGAATGGCAATGGAACTTAATATCAGCCCTGTGAACAATGGCAGTAATGGATCACGTGGACTGAAACAACCAGACAAAATAGGAAGAATAATATAATATTTAGCCAATGACTGGCCCCTGTGCACATCAAAATCCCTTCAGTCTTTCCTGTCTGTGGTACCTTTAATAACAAATTCCCATCTGGAAGAAAACTGCACTGATGAATGCAGCTGCTTCAATCCACTTTTACTTATACGTATATAAAAAAATCATTCACATAAAATTTCAAACAAACAACATATTAAAGTCAAAAGTATGTTAGCTTTTGGACAGTTTGATCCCGTTAAACTCTAGTTTTGATTGTTTCATTTGACTTTTCTATTTAATTTGTTTTCATGTTCGAGCCCCCACTGTGACCCCACTGGGAATAAGCTGAACAGAAAATGGATGAATGGATCTATGAATGTAACCGATTGAAATTATTATATGAATATCTTTATATATTTAGGCTTTTCAGCATTAACCTTTTTTTCTTTTGGTCGCTGCTGCTCACTGAAATGTTGGGAATATAAAAAAAGTTTGGTGAAAATATATAGACTATAATGGACATAGGTTTTAAAAATATGAATACATTGTGAATTGTGTCACTATTCCTGCGGAATGAGACAGTTGATGCCTTTATATTAAGATAAAATAAACATTTCCTGTTTTCGTTCCTTAGTTACAAGATCGGCCAACTTTGGATGATTTTCCTTTTCTTTTGCACTGTCAGCACGGAAGAACAAAAAAAACCATCTGTATTTTCTCATTTCACGCAAGTCAGTGATCTGAAACTACAAAACACTTACTTTATGTCATAACAATCTCATTTTTGAGCAGAAACGCGTATTCACAACCATCCATATAAATTTTTGCTATTAAAAATTCTTTGGACACTGAACCTTATGTGTGGTAACTATCATCCCCAATGGTTCTTTCAGAAAAGAAAATGTACCCATAAGCATAGAAAAAACACAGAGAGCTGCCTGCTAGACATGGCAGAGGTTTGTTTACAGAGCTCGCTGGTGGCTGATGTTTGATGTTCTCCTCTGAGACTGAACCGAGGATCTAGTGACCCCACCTCGTTTTCTTTCAGGCTTGCTTGTGGCTTTAAGAATGTGCAGAGATTGTCAGCACAGATGCAGACATGCATGACAGAACCGCTCAGAGACTCCGGGGCAGACAGAGTCCGGTGGATTCTCAAATGTCAAAGGATGAGCAAAGCATCAGTGTGCAGTAGTGATGAACAGTGGCTTCTTTGATTTAATCATTCACACAAATCTCACTCTATTGTGTGATCACAGGAAACCAGCCATGGTGTTTCTGCTCGCATCCATAACTGTGCTGCATTTGGTGAGCCTGGCCATGCTCCTCATCGCTACCCTGGAGAAGGTGAGGAAGTACAACTCGTGTGAGAAATCAGGTCGTACACTAGATGTCACTCTCACACTGTGGTCTTCTCTCTTTGAGAAAGCAAACACAAAGGACATATAACAGAGTTGCAATTTTGTACAATCTCCTGTTCTGAGAAACGATCTTGGATGTGACAAAGTGTCCCAGCTTTTGTTAGTTTATTTGTTCCTTCCTCTCTCCTCTGTGTGCAGTCCTGGTGGGTGTGGGCAGAGTCGGAGATAACTGACCTTTGGCATAACTGTGTGTATGATAATGCCTCGGAAACCTGGTTGTGTGCTGCCACCACTGAAGGCGGTAAATCCAACTATCACCCGCATGGTTTTTTTCGTAACGAGTGACTGAATGTTATGCAAAGGAAATGTCCTCTGTCTCCCCAGACTGGCTGCAGTCTGTCCAGGCCCTCATGGTCCTCTCTGTTGTCTTCTGCTCCATCTCCTTCCTGGTCTTTCTGGTTCAGCTGTTCACCTTAGCCAGAGGAAGTCTCTTCTACTTTACAGGCTTCTGCCAGGCCTTTGCAGGTTATCTGTGGGAATGCTTTTTTTTATCATCACTATGATTGAACAGCCTGACAATGTTTTACACATTCAATCCTTTGAGAACTTTTGAATATTTCGATTTTTGAAGGGTGTAAGAAAATTGCTTCTTTATGTGTCTCTGTTGTTAAACTTGTGCTGATATATTTAAAGCATTTTCAAAAATTGTGTCCAAATATAAGTCCACTGATGTTGTAATGATGCCTGTAGTGTCTTGATGAATCTGAACTCTTTTTTTTGTGACTCTTGCAGGGTTCGCAGACTTTGCTGCTTGTCTCATCTTCACCTTCCACAGAGAGGAGATTTTAAGTGACTCAAGAGATCTAAGCAAAGGACACTTCGGCTACTGTTTCATAATTGCGTGGATGTGTGTCCCTCTTCTTCTTGTTAGTGCAGTGATGTATGTCCACCTGCGCAAAAAACAGTAAAGCAATAAAAGAATGTGTGTTGGTCATGGAGTTATCCTCTTCCTTCCCTTCAGCCATGTAGCAGTTAACAAATGGCATGTATGGTTAATTGGACTCCAGATTGAGGAAAAATAAAATGTCTCAGTCTTATGTCAGTATCAAATTGTAATAAACTGTAACACAGAAACAACTCAAGAGGACTAAAAGCTTTGAACAGTTGTGCCGTTTGGTGTGCACAAAGAATTGTTATAGAGGCATTACCTAATAAATAGAAAAGCTGTGTTAAGTCTTTCTTTGTTATCGTGGAGCAGAGTTTGGATGGTTTTATTTGTATTTGAAAAAAAACAAAAAAAAACATAGATAATAGCCACATGTCAGATCTACTAAAGAGCTTTCCTGTGTTTAAAGTGCTAAATCCCGTGTCATTTTGTGATGAGAGCTTCATTTGTAACAGAGCAGGTGCAATCCTCCAGCATAGCCTTTCCTTCTTTGTCTTTTAATCTCGGCATTTTGGCAGTATTTGCTGTTTGTTAAGGTATAGCCACATTGTCTTCTAAGGAATAATGATAAGGAAACATGATAAACAGATGGCAATCTTCCAGTGCAGTAGGTGACGGAAAAACGTTTCTCAAGAAATAGAAGAGAAATTGCTGAGATTGCATCCGTGTCTTTAGATGTAGATGATGATTAATCACTTCACATACTTCTTTTATACCTACCTGTCAGGCTGGACCAGTCCAAAAGGAAAGAAAAAGAAAAAAATCTAACTGGTATGTGCTGCTTGTGGGGTAAAAGACACACGGTGAAATGATCAACACCTCCAAAACATGTAGGTACTGAAAGTAGAGAAATGAGCAAATGCTTAATCTAAACACTGCTGAGAAAGCCATTGGAGTTGGTCTGGGGCGATGACAGGGTATCTGCACAGTGAAGCAATCTGTCAACTGTACTGAATGTCTGGAATCTGAGGAACAATGTAAGTAACAAGGAGTGGAAGAAATAGAGGAGTGTGTGCCGCACACACAGGGGAGGGAACGTGTGACGTAACACAGTTTTAGAGCGACAAGTAGCACCTGAACCTGAGACAAAGCAGCACACAGGGTGAGTTTCACTGTGGTGAAATAGCGTTTATTATGGTTCAGCGGAGAAACTGATCAGCTTTACTTTTTTTTTTACATTCAAGGGGAAAAGGCAGCCGAAGACCATGAAACACACTCCTGCTTTTTATCTGTAAGGACTGACAAGAAGCCATCAGGTCTGCCAGCAACAGTAAGATAGTCCTACCTGATGCACTTTGGACAGCTCCCGGCTGTGTAGAACTAGCGTGACTTTTTCCCAAAGGGGGTGAGTGAAAGTGGAGCCAGTGTGTTTAGGATTGCTGGTGATGGTCTCTTCGTCCCTCCCCTGTGAATGGTGGAACCTCTGAAACTCAGGATCTGTTCCCAGAGACACAGACTTCTGCAGTCATGTCAAACTCCCAAGAACAAAGTCTGAATGAGAATGTGGTTTTCCTGCCGGTGGATGTGTCCTGCCCGGAGTTCCTCTACTGTGAGGAGGAGCGGGAAGCAGTGGAGAGACTCCTGAACGGAGGACCCGAGGCCTTCTACAGCTCTGTTGGCCTGAAGAGCACTGGCTGCTTCTTATCTCCTGAAGAGGTCGGCCAGATAACCAGCTGGGCTCAGAACTATCATTTAAACCCGCCGCCGGTCGAAGAGGAGAGTGGCGTGCAAAATGGCTCAGAGATGGAGGATTTCTGTTCCACCTACTTCCCCAAATATTCCGATGTGCCGCCGCCGGGCCTGGAACTGGGCTGGCCTGTGCCCCCCCGCTCCGGGCTGAAAGCGAGCGTGTCCGTGCACACCAGTCCCCCTGCAGAGGGAGAGCCGCCTGTCAGGGAGATAATCAGACGCCACTTGCAGAAGGCCAGAAAAGTATGCAGACGTGAGATCACATTTGATATTTTATATTGATTTTTTAAAATGGATTCACATCTTTGTGCATTGGTAGACTCGAAGCACATAGATTACTTTTTAAACATGATATCTCAAACTCCTCATAAACAAAGCTGTGCCTAAGGAAAATGGGATCATTTACTTCCATCTGTCACAATCAAACATAAAATACAATCAGCTAGCAAGAAATCTGTTCTCATTATGTTTTAAGATAAAAACTGTCTACATATCGGCTACTGAATTACAGAAGACATGAAGCATGCCTGTAAAAACCTTCACTTTTTGCAAAGGTGAAAAACAAAGATATTTGGCATCAGCAAATTAGATTTGATTTGTTTGTTGATTTTGTTTTTTCAGTAGATAATTAGGAATGATGTTCATATGTTATGTGGAAAGAAACCACAGACCTCTTCATTAAATCACTCTGCTCCAGATTTTGTTTCACATTCTCAAAGTCACTTGTGTGTTGTGCAGGTGATTGCCATAGTGACCGACGGCCTGACAGACAGCGCAGTGATCGGTGATTTGCATAATGCTGCATCTCGTAGTGTCCCTGTCTACATCATCCTCAATCAGAGGTCCTTCCAGGAGAATTTCACCCTGAGCCGGCTGAGGCATCCGGTAAGTAAGGCCACACCCACAGTCGTGCACTGAGCTGTGCACCTGTCTTCTGATATGTGCCTGAGGTGGCAATGAAAGAGATGGAGACTTTTTAAAAGCATTTTTCAGGAGTTATGAGAATCCCTGCACACTGTAGCTGTACACCAAATACATACTTCATGAATTGCATGTGTGTCTTATTACTTTGGCATGCGTTTGGAATGTGGCTTTAGCAGCAAAACTGGTTACACAGCTTGGTCTCCACGTCTTTTTAGAGCTGCAAAACCAGGAACCACTAAAAATCATTTTTTTGTATGGGTAATGACATTTGATGTTGCAAAATCTTTTCTTTTTTGCCTTATTTTATCTGCTCTCATGTGACTTTTTTGTTTTCACCCTCTGATCTTAATTGAGATGCCCTGATGACTGACTGTTGGTAAAGATCTTAATCACTGAAATGAAAAAGAAACAAATGATCCAAGGCGTGAGTAAATAAATGAAACAAGGACTCTCAGAGTATGATTGAACTTGAGTAAGCCTCAAAACTTCAAAACCACACACATAAATTTAACTCCTCTTTATATATAAGGAGAGACAGACTTCACTGTCCAGCATCTCTGTAGTTTCACATATTTAATTACTTTCAATTGTTCTCAATCAGTTCTTTAGCATTAAATTGAATATTTAAGTATTCGATGTGACAATAAAAACTAACCAAATGCAATTAAAGAATCTAGGAAAATATAAGCGACTCAAGGGAACCAAAGGGAGTACATGATTAGAGTTGAGATTCAGATGTTTTTCAGCTCTAAGTTTGCACATTTTTGGACTTGTCTGTACGGAAATCTTTTCTGCCTCTTCTTGAAGAGGACTTGTAGTGCTCTGTTCTTCTCTTTTGCGTCATTTTAGTAGTGACACTGAAATAAACATATTCTGTCAAGCACTGTATTGATATTGCCACAAACTTTTATATTGCCACTAAAAAAATACCTTTTTGACTCGTGCACTTATTTAGGTGCTTCATTGCTGGGATTATACTGTCCTGACCCGCTTCAAACAAAACATGCTGAACTCTATATAAGACAAAAAACATTTTTCCACAAGACATTTTGTTGCTTCCCTCCAGGCTTCATCTCCTTTTTTTTTTATTTTTTAGAAAACATGCATTTGTAGTACTGCAATGATGGAATTTAAATTCATCCATTTAAGGATGATGTCTCAGACACCTTCCTAAAATTATGCATAAACTTAGATACTCAGCATGAAGACTGTGTTAGACTGCCCACACGTTTACAGAAATGGATTGCACTTCCTGCCTGTGCAGTCAATTTGGATTCTATAAATTAACTAACCATTCTTTAAGTACAACCATAACCAGGTTTTGTAAATGCATGTTTTTCTGGCCTTCTTTTGAATTAAGTCTGTGTAAATGTTTCTAAACAGAAATAATTCAACCTCATCAAAGCCAAATGCAAAGGCGATTAGAGTAATTGCTTTACAAAGCTTCTTACACGGCTGCTCAGGAAACATGGGCCGAGTGCATTCTCAAACAACAGAGTCCAGTCAGGAAAACCTCAGTCTCACCTTTGTATTGTTCAACCGTTTCAGCAGGTCGTGCATTGACATTTTTTCAGACATGAACGTTTAGTGTGGTGCTACCCTGATTTTCCCCTCACGTTTTTTTTTTATCTGACAGAACATGAGGGTCAGAATTCTTGGAGGCAAAACATTTTGCTCAAGGAGTGGAAGAATGGTGGTAGGAGAACTAAAAGACAACTTCCTTCTGGTGGATTTAGAGTCAGTGATTCATGGCAGCTATAGGTAAATACTGACCGATATGTCCACAGCTCCTCTCCTTTGTCCAACACTCCAGAGTGACCTGTCCTCATTGCACTCCGCAGTCTGACGTGGACGGACGCCCACCTGCACCGGCAGCTGGTCACTGTTTTGACAGGACCAGCCGTTGACCTGTTCGACAAGGAGTTCAGAATCCTTTTTGCTGCTTCAGTCCCGGCCTCTGAACCACTCAGAGCTGCCGAAACTAACGGAAACGAGCCTCTTCAGCTCAGATACTTCTCACATCTCAGGTCTCATGAACAGCTCAGAGTGGAGCCTGAGATTACCACCCCGTCTTCGCCACCCACAGACAGCGTCCTGGATTGGGATGCGATGGGTGTTGTTCAGGGGGAGTATTGCCAGCCTGCCAGTGCTCTCGAGCTACATGAGAAAGTTATGGCCAATGAAATGATTCCCCAGCACAGTTGCGATGACAACAGACCCAGACCCAGTATGGACAGATTTACTCACAGAGAGCAGCAGCTCGAGGAACAGAGGAGGTACCTGACATAGATGATTTTGACTATTTCATTGGTGTGCATAGGAAACATAACACACAGATAACGGCAACTCCTACCTTCCTTATTCTGTGAAAGTCCTTAAGTTTGATCAAAGAAACTATCTTGAATTTGACAAAATGCGGGCAAACATCTCACCATTGACAGCTGGTTTGACAGATAAATCAAAAACTTTCAAGGGAGTCATTTTCAAAGGCACATACACTAAAGCATAGCATGAGCTATTTTGCTTTTAATTTTTTAAGCACCTTGTTGATTGGAACTATATTATTTCCACAGCAACACAGAACACTTGTCCAGAAACCCACCAGCAACAGAGAGAGTGAAAAGGTAAGGTGAAAAACAAAATAACCTAAAATGTCATTTTATTCAAATGTCACAGCCAAATATAAGTCAAATGTCCCCTGCAGGCCAGTGCATTCCACTGCAAGGCAACTATCTACTGAGAGAAACAGAAATCTACAGGACATAACTAGAGCAAGGTTAAATGACAAAGCACCAGACCCAGTGCACTTGTCATGTTCAACTATGAAATGGCAACCCTCAAACTTAACACAAGGTATGAAGGAGGACAGAGAAAAAGAGGAAGAAAGCACCAAAGCCAATAACTCCCCAAATCACAGAGTAAGTCATACATCTGAGCTTTCAAATGATATGAGTTAAGTTTGAGCAGAAACCATGGGAGAAACTGAGGTGTATGGCTTTCCTTTGCTCAGAGGCCAATAATCTTGAGGATTCCACAACCCGACAGCTGCAGCTCCGTGAGTGACATCATGAAGAGGTTTCCACAGAGGACGTCAGGCCTCCTCAGGACGGAGCAGAACTCTACAATGTCAGAGCGGACCCAGTCCATGCTGGACCTGAGCAAGCAGAGCCTGGCTGAAGATCCCGGTGACAGATCGGTTCCAGTGCCAAGGTTTCAAGCCAGTGTGAGTCTCGCTGTGAAATTCTTCACAAACTTCACTCACTGAGTCGTAGAAGCAAATGAAAAACACACCTCATGTTGCAACTTGAGCAGCAAAACCAATAGTTCCAAACTTAAATGAGGGGCAAGCACAAGAAATAAAACAAAAAAGTACATTTTGAAAGGAGACAATTCATCCCTATGGTTACCTTCTTAAAGCAATTGCCATCACCTTAAACATCTGCACATTTATCATCCTTCTGTTGTCTCCGCAGCATGACCGCATGACGCCTGCTTTAGCCCTGATGAAGAAAAGAAACGACGAATTAAAATCTTCTCTCTTCAGAACTTCTCAAATCTTCGCACCCAAAGAAACGACGCACAGTTCGGATTATGTCCCTAAAACGGACTGGAGGAGGCTGCTGGCAAAGAGGGAAGGAGAATATGAGTGACAGGGAGGATGAGAATGTTACAGAGGAAGTGCAAGAGGGAATGTCTGCTGTGCCAAATTCCCACATCACTATCTCTAAAAAACCCTATTACATCACGCTTTACATAATCTTTGAACAATGTTGAAGTTTCTGTGTTCATGCAAACGAGTAGTTACAAAACTATTTTAAGACAATTGTCTGTGTGAAAGTATTTCGATTTGAAAACATTTGTAATAAAACAGTAATTAAGAGCAAATTCACATTTTTGTTTTGTGAAACCTTTTGAAATAAGTTTTTAAAAAGATGGTTGATGGCTTGGTGGAAAAAATATCTAATGAAGTCTTTGAGCTTTGTTGTTATAAATTAAACTTTTGTACTGGGCACAAATAAGCCTCCATCACCATGGAGAGAGAAAGCAGGTCTTTGACAAAAAAGATTACATATCATAAAGACGTAATTATTTTTGGATCATGGCTTTTGCAATTAAACACGTACTTTACTGATTTTAACAAGGTAGGAAAATTATCAAAGGGAATTATGAGAAAAGTTTAGTTTGAGTTCTTTTAGAAAGATATTTGTTCCCAAGATTAACCTGAACCAATTTAATTTTACCAGAAAACTGTATCTATCCTTTATAAATGTGGTTTAAAATAGAGACTAATTTAAAGATCCTTAAAGCATGGACCCAATTCATAAATCGTGTACCGTGATTTATCTGTTGTTTTATGCATTGTTTACTTTCTTTCTCTTCCGTGTGCAGTACAAACAGTAGAGTTAGAATTCAATGCTTTGTTGTTTTGGGTTTTTTTCTAACCACGAACCTGATGTGAGCACTCGTTTGTAATGTAATTTTTCCACGGCAGGTGGCAGTATGAGCCACTCACTCCCCTCCTCTGCTTCCATTCAACCAAAGAAGAAGAAATGCGGAAGCACATGGTGGCGACGCCAAATGTTTCCAACTCCGCCACATAATTTGCATTGGATGTTGTTTAAGTCGCTGTGTGTTAGGTTATAATCAAACTGCCATATTTCTTTCACGACCCGGCCTGTCAGCCTCACTGCCATAATGGTTCGAGCACAACGGTGAGTTTGCATTGATTTGTAATAATTTGGCCCATGCAGTCTACATTAAACAGAGATGAACGCAAACAAATAAAGCTTGATTTCAGTAACATAATATATTCAAAGGAATGTGTTTAATTGTTTAGAACTAAAAAAGTGCAGAGGCCAAAAAAGACGGAAAAATATGATGAAGATGACCCCGAAGCCTACGGGGACATGCCCGTCCCTGATAAGGTAACTAACTCACTGTTTTCTTTCTGACTGGATTTGGTTTAACCCACTTAAAAGTTACTGTTTCTAATTGTTTTGTTTTATAGGCAGAAACGGGTTTTAGTACAGACAGACAAATTGTTTTACATTGGTAACAAGAGCTCCTATGACCAAGAATTGCACTTAAAAACAAGGGGGAAAAAAGAACAGCTATTTAATGCTTTTAGAAGAGTAGTGAAGATGAAGCTTTTCTATTGTCTTTATTCTGTCGAGGTCCTTCTTCCATTGCATTCTTTAAATACACTTATGTTAATGTTAAAAGAAATATACTACTAATATTCGTCAGTGTCCTACTGACTTTGATCCCAGTCTGTATGGTGATGAGTGTGTGGTATAGACATATAAAATGTTAGTTTAATAGTTTGAGCTCTATTCTCCAACTCCAATAAATGTTCTTTCCACTCTTCCCTGAACTCTGTCTTGTCTTCACAGAAGTCGGCGGACTACACAAAAGACAAAATCGATAGGTTTCATGATGAGAAAATTGCTGTAAGTTCCCTCATTACTCTTGTTTGTGGTAAAGAAGTGTCGGGCCGTCTAATGTTTTCTTCTATGCGGCCACAGAGACTTCTCGCCCGCGGAGTTCAGGTGGAGAGCGACGAGGAGGAGCTGGACGATGAGGTACTGAGTTGTTTGCTTAGGTTTTACCTAAGATGATGACGGTTTCGGATCGTTTTCAAGTCCAACTGCTTCTGACAGGAGGAAGTGATGGCCCTCGACGATTCAGAATCCGAAGAGGAGGAGGAAGCAGAAGAGGATGAGGGGACAGATATGGAGAGTGATTTAGAGGGGAAAAAGGATGAATGTAAGAAAATTACTTTTTTTTTTTTTTCATTGAATGTTTTAGACATAAACTTTTCAGTTGAACACTGTGTCCTTGTTGTTAGATCTTCCCGATGAAATGGCGTGGGGCACGAAGAAGAAAATGTTCTACGACTCAGATTATGTGGCCACTAGTAAGTATCTCTCACCACCAAACAAATGTAATGTTTTCATCGACTATGCCCTGACATTTCATTACCTTGCTACAACAGAGGGGAAATCACAAGAAGAACTCGAAGCTGAGGAACAAGAGGAAGAAGAGGAGGCCAAAAATATCCAGAAACGTTTAGCTGAAAACCTGACTGAAGAGGACTATGATTTAAACCTTTTTCAGGTATTTTTAGGACATACAATGACCTCTGATGCATTTAACGATATGTTACCAATATTTTCTTATTATTCTCTGTCTTCTGTGTTATTTTACCAAAGGAATTTTCTGTAGAAGAGAAGGATGAAAGCAAAGGTGTTGAAAAACAGGAGAAGATCATTAAAGACCTGAAGCAGATGTCACGGAAGGAGAAAATGAAGCTGTTGAAAAAGGAATCCCCAGAGCTGCTTGAACTCATTCAGGACTTCAAGGCGAAGGCATGAAAGACACATGCACATGGATGTGTACACGCGAAATAACCAAGATCAGTTTTTAATGACTCCACACACACACAATGACCTGTTGCTGTTGTCCATCATTTGTGTTTGCATTATGGCTCCAGCTGGCTGAACTGAAGGACGAGCTGCAGCCCCTCGTGCAGATGGTCAACGATGGAAAAATCCCCCCAGGAAAGGTGACTTCAGCTAGCTCTATATTTCCAGCCCTCAGACACGTTGACATCTATTGATAACTGTATTTACAGGCCAACTGCTAAACTTTGGTCAATTGAGTGCTGGGAAAGAGAGGAAAAATAATATGAATGAATAAAAACCTCAATGTCCCAAAGAGCACTATTCCTGCCATTATTTGAAACGTAATGCTACACAATTCCACCCACAAAAATAAGGGCATTGATTAGAAGAAAAGGAGGAGCTTTGAAAATGATTAATTTTTCTGCTCTTTCCAAAGGGCGCCGATTATCTCAAGACCAAACAGCAACTTTATCTCAAGTAAGTCGCACTGCACTCCACAACTCGACAAAGTCATGTCCTGCCGGGTTTATTCAGCAATGAGGAATTCTTTTCTGCTGCAGTTACTGCACGAACATCAGCTTCTACTTGGTGCTGAAAGCGAAGCGAATCCCCGCTCACAACCACCCCGTGATCGAACGACTTCTGGCCTACAGAAACGTGAGCCCACACACTCATATCAGCGAAAAAGTGAGCCGTCCGGGATGTTTTTAGCTACAGCCGGACGGTCGGTTCTGTCAGTTTGGAGTAAATTCATGTAGTTCAAAGAAAGTGGGAAGAATTTTATCAGTGGACCTGCGCTGATGTGATTTAGAAAAAAGTTTGACATGGAAGTGATGAAACATGCTGCACCAAGCTGATTGTAATCGCCTTAACTTGGACAGAACTGTGTTTAGGTGACATTTGCTATAATATAGAAAAAACAGAATAAAAAGTAAGAGTATAATAGCATCAATTATAGATCAAGATCAGATATGTGCCCGTTTACTCATTCAGACCTCGTGCTGAACAAACGGCCCTCTTCATTCTGCATTTCCTTGCTGCAGCTCATCAATGAACTGGGTGCGGTGGACGCTCGCCTGGCCCCCGACCTACGCCGGCTGCTAGCAGGGGACGAGCTGGACAGACCCGCCAGCCGGGTGGCAAAGGGCAAGAAGAGCAAAGTCCCTGAGCAGAAGGTCACAGAGAGTTTCGTCCAACCTGTAAAACCTCACTCGAACCGGAGCTCCGGCAGACGTTTAACACTAAATCTGACTGGACGTTGTAGAGGGACGCTGGAGAGGCTTTGCCAGAGGACGACGAGGATTCGTACTCCGACCTGGACGAGGAAGCAGCCCTACGTTTCTACAGAGAAGTGGAGGAGCGGGTGAAATTAAAGAGGAAGAGCGGGAACTCGGCGGCTGAGGAGTAAGCACCATTAGTCTTGAGTTTACAGTCGTGATAAAATCAAATCTAATTATTTCCAACATCCAATGCAGGCTGCAGGAGGAGGAGGAGGAAGAGGAGCTGGATCCAGACAGCAAGAGAGGAATCACTTATCAGGTGTGTGTGCGGGGGGGTAAACTCCTCAAATACTAAAGCAAGAATTTCAGTTCCAAATTTGGGATTTTTAGCCCATTATTAGCCTTTAAATAAATAAAGTGTAGGTCCTCTTCATACAGCCCCAACCAAGGACTTTGGCTGGTGTCAAAGTAACAAAATCCTTCCACATGTCAATTTCACGCAGCGAATTTTACAAAGTCTCTGATGTACATGACCGGTTACAGTATTTTAGAGCAACTCAATGATGTCTATTAATCGTCTGCATTAACTTCAGTATTTCATTGGAAGAGATTTTCCACTTCTTCAAAAGAATTTAGCTGCAACCCTGTGTGTGTGTGAGTTCCTGCTGCTGTATTCTAACTGCATCTGACACCCCCACAGATGGCCAAGAACAAAGGGCTGACGCCAAAGAGGAGGAAGATTGACCGTAATCCCAGAGTCAAGCACAGAGAGAAGTTCAGAAAGGCCAAAGTCCGCAGAAAGGGCCAGGTTTGTGTTCCAGAAGAGTAGAAGTCTCCATTTAAAAAAAAAAAAAAAAAGGATCAGCTTCATTTGTTTGAAATATTTGGTGGTACGTCATGAGTATCGAAAATGTCCCCACCAGGTTCGAGAGGTTCGTCGAGAAGAGGTGAGATACAGCGGGGAGATGTCTGGTATCCGTGCTGGGGTCAAGAAGAGCACCAAGCTGAAGTGACCAGGAACCGGGTCACAGAAACAAACGCCACAAGGCTTCATCTGTGTTCTTAAAAGCTGTTTCATGTTTTTGAAATACTGAAAAATGGGAATAAACATCTTAAATGAGCAGACTTTAATCTTGTTCCTGTACAGTGACGATACGATCAGCTTTGAGTCCAATTTCAAGCAAACATAAACCTGACAACAGAAGGCATGAGATGCTTATGGCTAGTTCTAATTAAGCTCAAACTATCAAACTGATTGTATACAAGCTTGTCAGCAGAACAGGCAAGTGTGAAATTCAGCACTCAAGCCCAGGAGCAAATAAGAGCACAGAACAGAAAACCTCCAGCAGGCCGTTCCGGTTAGCCTACTGGTTGCATTATGAAGCTTTTGTGCGCGGCTGTCAGGTTGCTCACTATCCTCTCCTCTATCTCCACCTCGTTCTTTTCGTCCTCGTCGGTGAGGATCAGCTCGGCCTCAGTCTCGGGGGTCACCACGACCACATAACCCCGCCTGGAGTCCAGCACGTTGGCCACCACGGCCTGATGCCTGTAAGTATCCAGAGCCCGTCGGGCCTTTTTGATCAGGATGGTGGAGTCCGTCTCCAGCTTGAAGGAGATGACAAATGCCTGCGGTGCCCAGTCTTTAACCAGAGGAGAGAGTATCTTTGGTACCATCTTCATGCTGAGCTGAAATATAAAGGGGGGGGTTGGTCTTTAATGTGTGGTAATTTATGTTAAGCATTATAAGTATGGTCACATAAAGCCGGTTTAGAAAGTATGACACTGTAAGAAGATGTAAACAGCTACATTATTAAATATAATGCGCTGTCTTCTGAGCTTTTTGGGATGCAGACCTATCAGATTCCTTCACTCTGGATTCCTCTGTACAGACATAATCAGCCCCCCCTCTCCCCTCATTTTATTTTTTTACACATTTCCAATCAGTGATCAGCAACTTTCTTGGACATTTTTTTGTTTTTTTACTCACCTGAAGGGGCCCGTCTGAAGACTGGATTTTGTGTTCGGGCATATCTGATGCTGGTATGTAGAAATCCGACACAGCTGCCGCCAAGTAAAACATGGCCTTAGACCCTATGTGGAGAGCAAACATACAAGAGCAGGTTTCAACGAATGTCACACAGAGCCACATCTGGATCCCATAAACGGCTGGCGGCCTGTACCCAGTGAGCTGAGGGCCTGTGCCGCCACTTTGAGCAAATGCAGGTACTCCGACAGGGTGCTGAACTCGATGGGCAGAAGAAGTCTCTCCTCTTTCACCTCGTTATAGCGCCTCAGCACCTTGGCAATGTTCGGAAGCACCTGCTGGTCCACCACCACCTCGCCGCTGTTCGCAGGCGCTCCTTCTCCAGCCCTGAACTGCAGGGCGTCCAGCATGTTCACGCTCAAAAACATCCGCGTGTAAGGGTACAGAGAGCGGTGCCTGTGCAGGAAAATCACAGCGTAGCCCGAGTCTATGAAGTACTCTGCTGAGGAGGCTCCTCGTCTGCCACTGCTGAAGTTATCCAGGAAGCGAACGGTGCGGGACTCCAGGGGAACTTTGGTGCCTCCGGATGTGATGAGAACCACCCTGCGTCCGGCGTCTGCGTGAAGCCTGGCAAAGCTGACCATCTTCTCCTTCACCTCGTCCACATGGGAGGGAACAGCGAATTCTTCTGCCAGCTTCCCATCAATGGAGGATATTCTGGGTTCAGCCATCATCTGATGAGAGAGGGAACAGTATTAAGAGAGAGGGTTTATGACGGGGTCATTACTGGTGATCACCAGACTGAATGTTTCATGATGTGGGTTAGAGTGGAGCTACTTTTACACAACTGGAATTGAATTAATTTAGCAAAGGATTTTGAGTTGAAAATCAATACATTTCAGGGCAATTTCTGAGCACAGAAAAACAGAAACCAAGTATGCACAAATTATAGAATCAACCATCACTCGTTTAGGATGTTCACTTAGCTTTACTTAGTAAGTAAAAAGATTCATATATGACAAGAAACTATTTAATAGCTGACAATGGTGTTTAACTTCTTCTGATTAATGTAACAAAAGCAACTGATTCTACCTTCAGATATCTTATTTTTTTGTTAGATAATTAGAGTTAATATAAACAAATATTTATCTTTAAAACAGCATTATTCCATGTCGATGCGTTCTTTCAATACAGAAAAACAACACACAAAAGTGAGACAGCACCAGAGAACGTGACTTAAACAAGGACCTGAAAAATGGAGCAGTGTACTCAGTTTACGGTTCAATAGGGCGCTCTTCGGGTGACTTTATCAAGAGCAGAAAAGATTGCAGCTGCCTTCGGCTGTAAACATTGAGCTGCGGAGCCCCGGCTGGCGACTTGTCAAACAGGAAAAATAACTTAATGTTTCCCGTTGTCTGTCTGTAACTAAACAGGAACAACATCCTTACTAAATGAATGACACATTATACTTACAAATCTCCAAAATGCCCTTCTATAGCTACGGGATTGCAGTCAGGACTCTTTAACTTCTACACTTCCTGGAAGCTCAGAGCTGCTAGACTCTTTGGTTTCTTTAAAAACAGGACAACCCTTCACCGCCCCCAGGTGGCCACCGAGTGTACTGCAGTGTGAAAGAAGGCATCGCGCTCTGTGAAACGAAGAATGTATCTAACAATTCATAACTCGTCAGTATTAGTTAAAAACCGTTTGAGCTTGTTTGCTAAAGTGTATCAGAAAGAGTTCCCCTGAAAGACAAGTGCCAAAACATATTAATATTTTGTTGCCACCATGCACCGTGTTAAAGCTGTGCTTACAGTTAGAGGGGAAGGGGAAGAACCTATTGGAACATTAATTCATTAAGCCTTAGGCAAAAATGTAATTTGATTTAGTAAGACATTTCATTCCTGGCCTTGATTTTGCACCATCCGGCTGCCACCTAACAGCACCCATTAAACACAAAAACAGTTTTTGTAATATTTTCAAATGATTCCAATTTCAAGTCATCACTTAACTTTGATTTTACCACTTTGTGTAAAACCTGATTGAGTAATCACACAAAGTTGATTTTTCTTCAAGTGTTGAAACCACTGACATGAAGGATGATTTAACTTGGCAGGGTGTGACGTGTCTATAATTTCCAAGATTGCTTAATCTGGTCTACTTATTTTCACATTGCACAACATCTATAGACACCCAAACAGTACACTCGGAAGAATAACGATGCCAAATATCCCAGTTTTGTGTGACAGAGAAAAGAAAACTGTGGCACAGTCTTATTGTCATCACATGAAAAGAGTATGGGACATTCTAATCACATAGTAAATCTATAAAACTTCGCAAACTCTTAATCTTCCGCCAAATATATCAGAAACATTTCAGATGGTTGCAGGAATAATGATTGTGCAGCAAAAGTGGGGAACAACCCCATAACAGAAAGTAGCATGAAATGAGGTTAAGACTAAATCTACAAACAATGTAAAAAAACAACTTAAGGTATAACTAATGGACAGAGAAGGGGGTGAGCATGAATAAAGCCAAATAACAACAGAGTAAGGCAGCGAAAGAAAGAACCGGCTGAGTTTATTTTTTGAAGTGTTGCCTATTCCTGCATCAATCTCGATGAAGTCACCCTTAACAGAGTAGTCTGGCAATGGCCACAAAGAGGGAAAAAAACATTTTTGGCCACAGTATAATATATTGGGCCCAAGAAACTAAATGTGCACGCTTTTGTTTCTGAGCGCACACTCGATGAACACATATAGAGTCAGTGGAGCAGAGCAGCCTTCAGCCTGATTCAGCTGTGCTGTGGAGGGGTGTGCATGTTATGAGTGAAGGTCCCCTTCATACATCATTTGTTCCTTTTCAGTTATATACACACAAAATCTCAGGAATAAGAAAAATGTAACTAAACTGTGTGAGCTAAATTATTAAAGGCAAAAAAAAACAACTTATGGACAAGCTCTAGAAGCCCGGCTGCACCATTCCTAAATCATTCATGTATTTTCCAATATTCTGAATTTGCAGTGTGTGAACATACACTGGTTTCCACTGACAGCAAACGGTTGTGAAAATAATAAAATTCCAGTGAAAGGTTCGAATGAGCGCTCTGTTGTAGACGTTTTATTCCTCTGATTTACCGCTTTGATCTGTAATTAGTCGCAGCCTGTTTTTCCTTCTCTGAACACACATAATTCATAAACAGAAGATCTGAAACGCCAACAACACGGGTACAAATTTACCAAAACTTGCAAGTAATTTCTCTCTCCTGTAGTAAAATGTGCTTTTATTGTCTTTGTTTGATCACTCCCCAATAGATAAGAGTTGGTCAAAGCACTACTGCAGAGCCTACATTTTGAAATGTGACCTTTGTCACAGGAAACAAAAACAATATAAAAATCCAATTAAAAACTAATTCACTTTTCATCTACCAATGTTCTCTTAACATTGCACAGCCTCTCCTCCCTGGATATGTTTGTTCATTATTCTTTTGGAGCACACCCTCTTTGGCTAGAAAGGCTCAATCAAAAGACAACCATGCTAATCAAGTCCATTTTGATCTGTTTTCCCATTGCCCTATAGATCCCAATAATGGTTGACTTTCTATTTGGATTGTTTGATGTGTTTTTCCTAAATGGGTGCATTGCACATTTTAATTTGACATTGTTTAAATTTGACCACTATGATCCAAAACATTGAAGAACTTTTTAAGAATTTGTTTTAGAATGACAAACATTTTTATTCTAACAACACCGTTAGATTTATAACAAGAACAAAATGCTGTACAGTGTTTTTAACGCATAGGTATTCTATATAACCTTTATCAAATCTGATTCAAGCCTTAAACAGCATTTCATAGTTTTTTTCTATTGCTGTGCAGTTCTTGTGGACCACCGACGGGCGGCGCTGTTGCATCATTTAAAAACCACATCAACGTGGCTGCTCATCAAAGTTTGACTGCAGTGATTAAGCTAACTGCCTCCATTCATCTCAGGCCAGGACCTGGATCTCAGCAGTTTTAAAACACCACTCAGATTAGGTCTTTCTTTCTTGTTTGTTCTAAATCTGTTCGCACTAGTAATTTGAAACTGAATATCCACATTATTTTGGCTTTCATAAGCATGGCTGTTCAGACTAGAACTAAAAAGGCATAAGTTGACTGAGACAACCTAAAATTATATTTTCAATTGCATACACTTATTTCACACAACTTGCAAAGTTAGTTTTAACTGAAATAGTTTCAAACCACTGTTTTACTCATAGAAACCGTTCTTGGCAAATACTTTTTGTTTTCAGTGATCCACAATGATGAGTCATTTTAAAGTTGTAAAAAAAATCAATATCTGCAGTTATTTGAGTAGAAAGATTCATTAAAGATTTTAAAGCACAGAGAACTGACAACATTCATGAAAATCTAACTGAGGACACACAAATCATGCATTAGTAATACTTCTTTATGAGCTTAGAAAGTAACTTTAGTTACACCTCATGTTTTTGAGTAGATTTAAAAAATAATGGGACAATTTCAAAGTGAACAGAAATACATTTTAAAAGCAAAATGTGATGTATTTTCTCATCCAAGAATAAAAGAATGCTCAGATGTATTTTTTACCCCAATGTTTTTTAAACAGGAGCATTGTGCAGGGAACTCACAAACTGCCCTAAATGTAATTCAACAGATGATTAATTTGGGTAATTTCTTAAAAATGTTTTTAAACTGAGCAGTAATCTTGTCTATGGGGGTCCAAAGCAAAAATACTTCTAAAACAGAAACTTTAAATCTGAAAAATGCATTTACAATTCTTCTGAATTTGTAAAACCTTTACCTGCTAGTACTTAATATTCTTCTAGGCATCATGTGAGCCTTAAAAGGGTTAGATGATGAGTTTATTAATGTTTGTTAAATAACTGTATGGTAACACATTAATAATAGGAAGTTTGGAGTTTTCCCAATATTTAACAATGTGTGTTATCATTGCTCCATCTACTGTGATTTATTGGACCAAAACCCATTAATTACAGCTCATTAACAAGTATGCTCACTATAGATGAAATTACTTACCCGGGAGAGTGAATATCAGGTAAAGAGATTAATGAAAAAAACGAGAACAGGAAGTTGGATGTTGCACATCTTACCTGCTTTTACTACTGAGTATAAACTAAATTGCAAAGATTGTTGAAAAAATATTTTCTTCATATAAAGACTGATTAAGTTATTTGGCATAACCTGTAATCGTTTTGTAAAAGTGGTCTTATCAAAGATTTCTACATTTTCCCTTTTTTGTTTTTTAACATTCTTAATTGTATCTCAATTATTATTCTCATTTTTTTTATACCTCAGATATGCTTTGAGCGATATTCACTCACAATGACTTCTAAATAAAGCCCTTTTATCGATTAGTTTATTGATTTAGCCGCAGTCCTGTGTGGGTGCTATTTCCAGTGCGGGCTTCAGCGTTTAACCGCGCGCTAGTTTCTGTGGCGGCAGACATGGTATGACGGGGGGCGGGGTGGTGGTGGAGGGGGGACCTTCATGTGCATCGCCATATGTGAAAGTAGTTCCGGGCACTTAACCCAAACGGGGGAGAGTCCCGGATGTTGGCTCGGCAGCCGAAAGAAAGGCGAACGGGAGAAGGCGGAGAGGAGCTGAGGAGGGTCATCACGGCACCGCGGGCACACCGGCGAAGCTCTTTGCACAGGACAACAACGTCAAGAGCACAGGACACTCCTGGTG